GATTTATATAATTCTTAACGAACCAGAATAATTCTTGTTATTGGATCTCAGGGTTGTGGCTTGAAAAAACGAGTCATTGAAAAAGAATAAAGGACAACATGTTGAACTAGGGCAGTGGATGCTAAATAATGGGTTGTATGCTGACTCGAAACAATACTGGCTCATTATTTTGTATATTATAGTAAAATAAAACAAACTCGTAGTTTCACTTATTAGACATTATTGCACCTTTGTCTTTTTGTGTGTTGTTTTGGAGTAGGCATTACAAACACAGACCATTAAACAGCATCATGTCCATTTCGTCAGAGATAGACCTCTGACCGTTACAGATTTGGCAGTATTTTCATTACATTATGATTAATAACTACACACTGATTACGACACCATCTAATTGAAATAATTAACACATGCTCTTGTTGTACAAACAAAATCATTATAGTGACGGTTAGCAGTCATTTTCAATGTGTGCTAAAGCTGAACAGTTCAGGGCAGCATCTCTCAAACCCCACCCAGCTGAAGAGCGACTTATGTGGGTTCAGAGCCGACCACAGAGACCTGGGAGGACCCAACGAGCTGGCTTCTTGTGCTTCACTTGTCATCGCATAGAAACACACATGCACACATAGAACAGTACCGACAACAAGGCATAAGTATGGCTACAACTCTGGGAATATCCATGCATAAAAGCATGCACAAATCAAATAGTTTTCGACTCTGAGGATTTTAACTATTCAGTGTTGAGCGAATAACTTGACTGGTGTACACTCACGTCATTGTTATGGATGATATGGTGCTTCTCTTTGTCTCCCGGAATTTTTCCCCACCCCAATTACTTGCCTGCTTTCTTTGTCCTGCTGCCTCCTGGGGTGTATATCCTGTTGGCATAAGGAGCTTTAGCTGCTTTTCTAGGAGGGCAGTCTGTTTCTGTTTCACCAAAACACAGGCAGGGACACGACGACTCTTTGTGGAAACCTAGCTAGGACGATTGAGGAAAAGGGGGCTAAAATTGGGCATAATAAACGAACTACTCCTTTTGAGTGCCAATAACACCTGTAGTAGTTATTGAGAGATTTTCTCCCTGCACATAATGCAGAGCACACACCTAGTTTCTCGAGCTGTGGATTCCCTTTTTATTCTGACTCCAGTATTGTTTTTTGTATGTAGATTTGATACCAGCGTTTATCCGAATTCTGAGTTTCCGTACCGATACCAATTGATGACAGAAATTCAATGACAAGAAGTCGCATTTTTTCTTCCGTAAACAAAGTGAACGTTCGACTTTCTCTGTCATCATTCGTCAACATAAGGATAATAATGCCATTTAAAGACAAGGCAAATCTGCTGCTAATTGCCCATGATAATACATTTACGTATTATTTCTCTGGACATTGATGTCCTCTGACGATAGCGGATAATATGATTTCCGAATCTCATTCCAGGAAATTTGGAGACGCAAACATTAACTGGATTAAGTTTTCACATTTCACTGTCTTCTTTCTTTCTTTCTTCTTTTTTTTGATTAAGTTGCTTGAATCTAATCGCATCACATTTCCCTTCGATGAATAAACCTGTCCCAGGTAGAAGATCATTTTATGAGTCAAAATAGCCTGCTGTTTCTTCGTGGTTGAAAAATACCAACACATGCTTGTTTTAGGAGGAGAAGGTTGACGAGTCGGCCGTGATCGGTGAGATGTCACAACCTGATTGGAGGCGGGTCCAGCGCACTTTGTCCCAAGATGGTCCATCTTGGTCCATCGTGACTCTGCAAAATTTGGTAATGGTAATGGAACCACAGATCAGAGCTGCAGAGCTCCAAAAATATCTTGTTCCTGCTTGTGTCACAACATGACTGCCGATCCAATGCCGTCTGGTTGTGACCATTCACCCATTTGGCACTCCCTGCTGAAAAAAATCAAACTTATTGCACAGCAGATGTCATTGTTCTGACAATCATGAGCTGTGTCATTTGCGGAATCCAGCACCCTCCTGCAAAACACCATTTGATCTGATAAAGAATAGTTCTTGTTAATAACAGCAGGGCAGGCAGGAAGCTGAGCAGGACAACCCACTGAGGTCTTGTATGAAGTTTCCATTCATCAGCAGTGAACTGCAAAGGGCAACCAAGTTAGAATATTCACCTGTATGTTTGCTATAAGCCGTTCTGTCTCATGAAGAGCATGGAGTGTTGCACTGGTTCATATACCAATCACAGTTCTTTGCAATGGCAACGCTACACACCCAAAGCTCCCCCCTGCTGGTCCTAATTGGGGAAAAATGTGTTCAGACTGAAAAACAAAGTGCTGTACTTGTGTGGGCTTGTGGCTACAGAGAAGCTTATGCCAAAAGGTGTCGGACAGGAGCTTTCAACAGACTATCGAAGCTTTAGGAGGACAAATCCTGATTCTGTCCTGGTCTTGGAAGAGTAGACAAGCTTTTTACCTCCACAGATATAATTGGGTGCTGGAAAGGAGGCTCTGACCGCTTGTCGAACCTCGGTTTCAAGAGGAGCAGTGCGGATTCCGTCCCGGCCGTGGAACAGTGGACCAGCTCTTTACCCTCGCAAGACTACTGGAGGGGTTCTGGGAGTTTGCCCAACCAGTCTACATGTGCTTTGTGGACTTGGAGAAGGCTTTCGACTGGGTCCCTCGGGGGTTCTTGTGGGGGGTGCTGCGGGAGTATGGGGTGCCGGACCCATTACATCCGGCGATCCGGTCTCTGTACGACTGCAGTAGGAGCTGTGTCCGCATTCTCGGTAATAAGTCAGACACATTCCCGGTGGGTGTTGGCCTCCGCCAGGGCTGCCCTTTGTCACCGGTCCTGTTCGTGACTTTCATGGACAGGATATCTAGGTGCAGCCTCGGGGCGGAGAACGTCAGGTTCGGGGGTCTCGGGATCGCCTCTCTGCTGTTTGCAGATGATGTGGTCCTGTTAGCCTCCTCGGATCATGACCTCCAGCATTCACTGGGGCGGTTTGCAGCCGAGTGTGAAGCGGCGGGGATGAGCGTTAGCACCTTCAAATCTGAGGCCATGGTTCTCTGCCGGAAACCGGTGGATTGCTCCCTCCAGGTGGGGACGGAGTGCCTACCTCAAGCGGAGTTTAAGTATCTCGGGGTCTTGTTCACAAGTGAGGGTAAGATGGAGCGGGAGATCGACAGACGGATCGGTGCAGCTGCAGCAGTAAAGCAGGCGCTGCACCGGACCGTCTTGGTGAAGAGGGAGCTGAGCCAGAAGGCAAAGCTCTCAATTTACCACTTGGTCTACGTTCCTACCCTTACCTATGGTCAAGAGCTTTGGGTCGTGACCGAAAGGACAAGGTTGCGGCTACAAGCGGCCGAAATGAGCTTCCTCCATAGGGTGGCCGGGAGCTTGGAGTCGAGCCGCTACTCCTTCGCGTCGAAAGGAGTCAGCTGAGGTGGTTCGGGCATCTAATTAGGATGCCTCCAGGACGCCTCCCACTGGAGGTTTTCCAGGCACGTCCAACTGGGAAGAGACCACGGGGAAGACCCAGAACACGCTGGAGAGATGACATCTCCCAGCTGGCCTGGGAATGCCTCGGGATCCCCCAAAATGAGCTGGAACATGTTGCCGGTGAGAGGGAGGTCTGGGTCAGCCTGCTTGGCCTGCTGCCACCGCGACCCGACCCCGGATAAGCGGAGGAAAATGGATGGATGGATGGATATAATTGGGAGTTCATAAGGGAATTAAAAAAATTCTGTGCTTTGTGCTAAAAGCTGAGGTTTTCCTGATGGAGGTGGAGGTGTAAAGAACACAGCACCTGTTCTAGGTCTACCACATTTAAGGGCTTTAGATATGAATTGTGCCTCCTTTTTCTGCTGTCTTATATGCCTAGACAGAATATCTGGGCATAGCAGGGTCCAGAACAGATTTAAGGATGGCATCTCCACCAATTATACACAATGACATCCTTCTATACGTATTGGTCATTGATATCTGATGTGCTCTGGGTGACCCAAGGAGGAGGATCATTGTTACAGACATTTTATATCCGTGGCTGTTGCCTCACACTAAAGTACTTTATAATAACAGCTTGCATGTCAAGTTTCACATGTTAGTGCCCTAGACCTTGGTACTGATGCTGCTACTCCACAATGAGTTTGGTCATATGTTGGCCCCTCGTAACAATTCCCCCGAGGTGTTTAGGTAGATACAGGATATGTGAGAGGGACTCCATGTCTCAGCTTTCCCTGGAGTGCGGCTATCTTACCCAAACCCTCAGGATTAAGTAACAGAAAATCACTTTCTTGTCCAAATTGATCGTATGACAGGACGGAGTATTGGAAATGTCTGCTGCTCTTTTGACATGGATGATTAATGTAGTCTATTAGTCCAGTGCCATTCACATTGACAGGAACTCATTGCCCTCTTGCTGAGATACCCACAGTGGCCCACAGTGTCTACATGCATCAGGATGTTCAAACTGTGGCTGTTGGACTAGCGCCAACTTGGTGTGCGTCTGTTCCTGTATCTGTTAAATGGAGCTTCGTGGTGCGTCCTTTGTGGATGCTGTCGAATGAACATGTGGCCTCAGCAAGCACACACATGCGCAGACACACACACACATGTGCACTGATGAGCTCTCCCTTTTCTTGCTGTCACTTTATCTCCTCCTCTGTCTCTTCAGTGGACTCTGCTGTTCCCAGCTGGGTGATAGCGCAGGGCTTCCTTTAGATCCGCAACTGATTGGAACCACTCTCAGTCACACTCTCCCACCTCGGCCGCTTCTTACTACTACCTCTGCCTTTTCCCCATCCCTTCCATCTGTCTCAAAGATATACTGACTGTGTGTATTTGTATTTGTGTGTGTGCGTTAACCAAGGTGTCACCTGCCACTGCACTCCCAAAGTACTGGCAGCCAAATCTAATCTCTCTCTCTCTCTCTCTCTCTCTCTCTCTCTCTCTCTCTCTCTCTCTCTCTCTCTCTCTCTCTCTCCATCCCCCTCACTACTGTTCTTTCCCCTTATCCTCTCTCACCCTTACAGGTCTCGGATGTTAACCTTTCTTCTGAGCGGCGGAAAACATCCCATCTAGCCAGGTGAGTCTCTCAATGTCTCCCCCCCCTCTCTCTTTGTTTTGTCATCTCACCCTCTGTCTCTCTCTCCGTCTCCCTCTCTCTCTCTCTCTTTCCTGCATTATGCCTTGGGTGCTGCTGCAAAGATGCTGCGTCACCGTGCCACTTCCATATAGACACAATTGTAATATTAGTGCAGGACAGATACAACAGATGCATCTCTCTTTTGTCCCATATGCTTCTCTGTCTATCTCTCACCTTGTCATGCTGGGGAACCGTGTGTGTAACTGAATTAGCTTTATGTTTTTGCATGTTTGTATTAATCATCCAAGACCCCAAGCATATGCATTTCTGTCTGACATGGGTTCAGTCATTTTTGTTACATGAAAACAACAGGCTTAATAGTTGTTTGTGTGCGCGTGTGTGTGTGAGTGTGTGAGTGTGTGTGTGTGTGTGTAGACATGTCTAGACACTCCCAGACAGTCATTCCATTGGGTAGATTCACTCTCACTTGGTTCAGGTGAAGAGCGGAAAGCCACAATAACCCCACTAAACGAGACAGTGTAGTTTCATTCTGTTTGTCCAAATGGATTTCTGGTGTCGAGTCGAATCATCTCTCTGCCGGAATTGGAAGTGTCAAATAAAAAGTGTTCAGTACAAATTGTCCAGCACCCCATCCCGAGAAAGATGGACTCACCAACCTCAGATTTGTTTTGCCCTTTGATCCCTTTAGTTAAAGCAGCACAATCAGGCTGGTGAATAATGGGCATGTGTAGTTTACAAATATTACCTCAGCTATGTAAGGCTGCCATAATCTTAAATGAACATCATGTAGGAGTTAATGGCATTCATCCAGCCATGTGGTTGCAGATTGCAACCAATTGAATACTATGTATTGTATATATTATGTATAATGTAGTATAATACTATGTAACGTGAGGCGACACTTGCAGAATTGTGGTAACGCTGTTCAGCTCGCTCAGCTGCCATCCTTATCATAATAATACTACTTTAACAGCAACGGAGGACAGACTGGTGGTACTACGGTTTTGCAATCAGCGGCACACGTGACCGCAGTTTCACAAGCGTATTGGAGAACTACGGTGGCCTTTAGGTTACATTAAATATGAAAGGCTCTCTCTGGAGCTAGTGTTTGTCTGTTCCGGGCTACTGTAGAAACATGGCGGTGCAACGCGTGAAGATAAGTCGCTCCCTATGTCGATATGAAAGGCTCATTCAAAGCTAACAAAAACACTTAAATTCTGAGTCCCGAGGGATTATACACTCTCTGACCAGCATGCAATAGAGGAGCGACAACTGCAAATGTATGTCTGGTGTAGCAAACCACATCACAGTTTTCTTAGTTGGCCTGCTGGGTGTGAAAGAGGTTATGCTAGTATTTTCTGATGCATTTACACTTGATTTAATTAGAACTTGATACTGTTTTTGACATGAAGTAGGTCATCAGTACAAAAGTCATTGGTCATTGGTTACTGTTGGAACTGGCTAGCATTGGCGTGAGGGAGATAAAAGGCCCACAAGTGTTTCATAATATACAGATGTTTGACTTAAATTATTACCCCTCACGCACCCCCACACACAAGCATTGGCTGCTGCACAACAACTTCATCAATATAAAAACAGTCCTCTGTGCAGGAACTCTTGAGAATCTCTGCTCTAAGCAGTTCCCTCATCTCTGACAGCACATCAGTGAGGCTTTCCTCATATTTAATTCACTTTTTAACATACTACAGGTGACAGTATGCAATTTTTCATACGCCTGTCAAATATTCATAACTCTACATTAGATATTCATCATTCAGTCCCTTTATATATTTGAATGCCCCTTACCTCATCAACTCTTTTGCTGTTACTCCCTCTTTGTTAAACACACGCACACACACACACACACACACTGAGATTCAGTATGGCCTAGTAGGGCGCTGATGTTTTTAACAGTAACGTGTACATTTAAACACAATGAAAGTATCTGAGGTGAAAACATGTCTTCCCTCCATAAATCGTTCCTGGCATTTCCCAGCAGGTCTGTTTGACCTTCTCCTGTTGGGTTAGCCTCTCTTTTCTCCTCTCCTCCTCACCCCTTCATCACACTGCTGGCTGAACCAGGATGCTGACCCGGGTCAGTTCACTTTCTTAGCCATTTGTCCAGTTTCTATCAGCTATTAGACCCATTCCAAATTACAAGCCACTGCAAATAGAGTGTGTATAATTTGCACATTTCATCCACTATGCAGTACTTTTGAATATCAAGTATCTTCTCCACACACAAACATCCCTATTTACTCTATGTAAAACATCAGCCTCCAACTAATTACATTTCCCCGAGGTGCTGGATATACATCTTCAAACATCTGCAAAGACTTTTCCCAGCAACTTCGTCTTGTTTTGGTGTTTTATTGAACCAAATCTATCTCTGTGTGCATACAAAATAACAGCCTAAATGTGAAAGTTATTATTGATTATTTTTCAGTGTATGAAAGCATGTTGTATAATTCAACAGGACCACATTAAAAATGTAAGCAGTGCCAGAGTGAGAAATGCTATCAACGTTTTGAATTTCACTTATTTCTTCTTGTAGATTTGGTGACTTTACATTTTTTTTCTATAATTTATAACCCTCAGAATAATATTTCTTTTTTTTTTGTGTATGATGTCCTAAATACACATGACTTCCATCCTCACTGTTAATAATATTTTTGATTAATAGTCACAATGATAAGGCAAAAGAAAGTGAGACAGTCATAACCATATGTTGTTCAATGGCAGTTACTGGAGATTGAGAGAGAGAGAGAGAGAGAGAGAGTTAGTAATGTTCATGTTGTCAGCCACTGCAGCAATGATGTAATGGCCCAGACCCCCCCCACCCCTCAGACTAGACTTTCATTTTCTTTCCTTCACTCTCTTCTCTTCTTGACCGGCTCTCCTCTGCATCTCTTTTCATCTCTTTGTCTCTTGTTTCATTTTCATCTCACTCAGCTACCCGACTGCCTCCTTCAGTGTCCTTTGCTCTCTTTGTTGTCAAGGCACTCGTGCATATTAAGAGTTGCCGTGACATGTGCTCACATGAAGGTGTGTTTTTTTCTGCATGTAGTATTTGAAGATATTTGATCGTCTTTCTCAAACAGGAGCTTTATCGGTATGACTGTATCAGACACGATACTCCCAAAATAGCAATGAATGCAACGTTTTATTTTCAAAAGCCAGAAAGCACCAATTTGTACCTGAAAGCCACAGAAAAGCTTTTTTTCTATCCTTTTGCAAACAGTCTGATCACACACGAGATAAACTTCTTATAGACTGAGGCTAGATTATGTCTATAAAAGATGTTTTATCAGATGAAAACACTGTAGTGTCTTCAATCACTTCAGAAAACTTAATAAGGATACATTGTTTTAATGTTATCCTAATGTACTCGCTTGCTGAGAGTTAGATGAGACCATCAATATCACTCTCCTGTCTGTCTGTTAAATATGAAGCTACAGCCAGGAGATACTTGTCTAAGCATAAAGATGGAACGCAGAGGGAAATCGCTCGCCTAACTCGGTCCAAATAATGACCATTTTTTGTTTTGCTATGCGCCGTCCTGTTTCACGTTGAGCAAACAGGCAGACAGTAGTATCGATCCTCTCGTCTAACTCCCAGCTAGAAATATGCAGGTTTCTCTGTTGTGTCTCACAGGTTTTTTTTCAAGAACAGGTCCAGATTTTGAATATTTTTAAACAAGAAAATGTTTTAATTTACTGAAAAGTAACAAAACAAGACCAGTGGTACTCCTGTTCTTGGATTGATTGGCATAGACTACAGTTAAACTCTCTAATAACTAGTCTTTACATTGATGCTTCACTGGCAGTAGTGACTAGAACTTAAAGAGGGAGGACAATTAGAGAGCTTTCTTTTACCTCCACTTCCTTCTCCTCTCAAATATTAAAATTGCAATAGCTCAAATTACAATGAGAAAATGTATGGATTGAATTATTTGCTTCTAATTGCAGACAGTTACAGTATGTCTCATTGTTGGACTGTATTTTCTAAGTTTGATGGACTGAATTAATAAAAACTTAAGTTAACGTACTGTACCATAAGGACACACAGCAGTTCACACTGATAGTACTTACAATCAACTCTGCTTCAGTTGGATAAGAGTTCTTTCATTCATTTAGTTAATTGCAGTATTTCAGCCATCATAAGCTGTACTGGAGGACTGTGTTCTCTCATCTCTCAACACATTTCAGCCAAAAAGGCCAACTGGTGTGAATGAAATCCCAATGAAATCCCAATGTACCCAACGCCAATAAAACAGTTTTACATATAAAGCTTTCACTTACTAAAGAGAGTAAAAGTTTTGTGTGTCTTGCTGTGAAAATGCATGTTACGGTGTTTGGATACTTTGTTTTGGATGCGTCAGCTTAAAGTTGCATACTGTACGTGCATTCACACACACACACACACACACACACACACACACACACACACACACTGAAACATGCATACCCACTAACTCTGAAGGAGAGCAGGTTAATGAGGAGGGAGGGCTGATAAATGAGAGTCTAATGGAGAAGAATAATCCCTTTTACCAGCTTAAACTCTGGGAAAAGTTCTATTAAATAGCACAGATTTTTCATTTCAGGTATCAGTTACATGTTGATTTTGCTCTTTGCTGGCTGCCATGAGGACGTGGTAAGAAATAGCTTGGAATAAATGGGTGGATTACTATCTATTGAATTAGAAGTCCCACGCATCCAGTAGTTACTTGTGGGGGAATCTCATCTCCTCGCTCTGAGGTGACTCAAGATTTTTTGTTAAGCTTTCTGTCGTTTCTTTTCATATTCATTTTTTTGTATCTCCTCCATACCTACACATTAGATGAGACGTTGACTTGACAGTACATCTCCAAATTAAACAACTAAATATTTTGTCAGTCCATGCCAAATGCAAAAATGTTGTTTCTGGGGAACTCGCGGAAAGCGATGCAGCATCATTCAGGCAGAGGTCAGGGCCTTGCAGAGCACACGCTCAATCTCTTTTAAAGCTTTACATAACATTCAGAATCAAACTCTCTGGGAACCCATGTTGCTCAAAACTCTTTCTTTGTTGAAAGGCCTTTAGAAATCACCACGTATATTTCAATTCCTCACATCCAGTCGCATTGCTTATAAGAAGCGCCTTCCATTTTCTAAGCAGGAAAGAGCTCGGTCACCTGAAACACAAACATTTACACAGACACACACACACACACACACACACACACTCACACACATTACCCCCTGCAGACTGTATTAAATAAGGGCTGACAGGTGGCTGCTGGATGTGCAGTCCCAGGAGACAGAACAAAGCACTTTCATCGTGTGTGTGTGTGTGTGTGTGTGTGTGTGTGTGTGTGTGTGTGTGTGCTTAATCAGTGTTTGTGTGATCTGTGTATGTGTGTTAGAGGTACAGGGCTGCATAAGTAATTAGCAGAAAGGACCTTCACACTGGGGAAGGAGAACAGAGCGTATTTCTCTCATACACTTTCTTTCTCTCTAGTGTGTGTGTGCGTGTGTGTACTTATAGATACATCATATTTGGGAATTTGTTATCAACTACATCACATCTGCTGTGACATTAGCGACTGGGGTGTGGCCAGATGTGTAACACGTTGAAAGAAAACCTGCAGATGGCAGCACAGATAACTCCTGACTGCGTGTAACACACCTTGTAGTGGCGTAAAACAGTCTGAAATCTATTTAAATGAATCCAGACTATGCAGCACATGTTTCTGTACCATAACAATGCTTCTCTGTTAGAAAGAAGCAAAGCTCAACTCTTAATAGTGCTATTTCCGTGGTGGTAAAATTAACGGTTATTTATATTAGAGGACATGGTTCAGTGTAAATGAGACATTTGTCACTTCTTAGAAAGACAATTATTTATTTTATTTTATGTCTGTGAAGAAATCTGCCAGTTGATCTGCATGCACCTTGAGAGCCAGGGATGCCATCAGGTCCAGGTGCCTTGTGTGGATTCATCATTTTGAAGGATTTGCACACATCTGCCCTGAATATTATTAGTTGGCAGGGGTCCTGGGCCTTTTGTACCTCCTCAGAATCAAAGCACGGATAGAATGTTTCTTCATTTCATCCGGGAGAGATGCAGATATTATGAAAAACAGCTGTGATAAAGTCTCAATGTGTGTGGGGATCAACTGGCAGATGCTTTTCACAGACATTTTCAGCCTCTCGCTGCTCCAGTGTGTAGTCCCCACATGTTTCAAGAAGCCCACCATTGTCACTGTCAGCAGAAAGACGGAAGCCCCTCTGCCTGTACAGCTACCGCCCCACTAGCATTCAATATGCAGCAGCCCGATCTGCTGTGTCGCCATAGTTCATATTTGTGTACTAAAGACACCCTCCAAAGGTTTTTCTCACTCGTTTTTTTCCCTCCTCCTATTAATTATGAGCCAATTCCCGTCAAGGAACTTCATTTGCATTTTTATTGGAAACTCCTGACCATACATAATTGAAGTTACATGGGTTGATCACGTAGGGCGGTGTGGTAGATCTCACAGTGAGCTTTAACACAGACTCTTTAGGCAGACTTTTCTGCAATTCTTTGGCTATACAATCCTAACTGTGGGGTGATTGATTTTTATGACTTTTTCATGCCACATATGTTTATAATACAATAGAAATGATGTACTGTATTTTTCCATAAAACAACTTTTCCTTCCCCAAAAGCCCTAAGAGTGATATAAAAAATTAAAAAGAAAGACAAAAGAGTGGTAAATAACAGAGTATCATAATAACAGCCTTGTGCCCGAGGTGTGTTGTCTCCTGGTGTAAAGTGCTGAGTGGGAACCAAACTGCATATTTACACAGAGAACATGCACGCCTGTCCAAGGTCCCTGTCTGATGTATGACTCACTTGTGACCCTCGGCTGTTGTCGAACCGAGGCAAAGAACAAAAATTTGTCTCCTGCTTTTGTCAACATTGTTAGTTTCTATAAGCTCTGCGGCTTCGGCTCTTTTAGCTTCAGGCTGTGGCATTGATTTCAATACAGTCACTCTGCTCACTCATTTCTCTGTAAAGTACAACACCAGAATGGGCCGAGTTAAGATGGTTCTTGTTTCCAGAGAAAAGATTATTTTCTTATTGCCAAACATGTTGCATTGCAGCCGTTTTTTCACCATTTGTCAAAAATGTATACAAGACAAAAAAAAAACTGATGAGTGGCTTTTGTAAATTTTTTTTTTTACATTTATTTCCTCTGTTATAAAAAAATAACAAAAAAAAAGCCTAGATGACACGCTGAGATGAGGGCGAAAGGCTTTGTGCAGACATGTTACTGTATGTGCATAACCATTTTTAAGGAGAATATATCCAAACATGACAGAATAAGTCAATATTGTGAACACCTGACGTCCAATACTTGATGAAATGACTCATTCGCAGTATATTTTAAGTTATGTATCTGTAGTTACAAATCTGCTGCTCTAACCTGGTTCCAGACCTCCATCAGAGATGGAATGAATGAAATAAAACAAAATGGCAGTTCAGTCTGATTATCAGGTTTTAATCAAGTATATTAGCAACCAATATGTGCAAGCAGCTTTATATTACTCCCACTTCTCCTTTTATTCACTGGGATATAAGAATATAAGCCACTTTTGTTGTATTGTAAAGAAGAGGATTGTGGTGCTGACTCACTCAGCTTTGATCCTGGAAAAGTGGCAACCCTCAGCAACACTTAAACTCTCTGGTAATAGATGAATTGTATATTAAGTATGACGTCATTGCTGAAGTGCTGGCCACACTTCTTCAGCAGGAAAGGGTAGAGGTGGAAGGACACTGCTTTGTCATGGCTATTACAAACTTCTATCCTTTAGAAATGTCTTCTTTTAGGAAGGAGATACTGGCAAATTCAATGATTAATGAGATGCATATGTTTGATTAAGCAAAAATAAATGTTTAAAAGTGACATTTTGGAATTGATAAACGTTTTTTACATGGACCGTTTGTCACCATTGATTGAACAAAACATTGATTAACTAATCTCCCGTTTTTCTCAAGACAAGTTGCCTCTCTGCCATTACGACAGACTCAGTCAGTCTCTGAGCCATAGTGCCGTACATTAGCTGATTGCTTTGGACAAGGTACAGCAGTAATGACAATATTAGTCTTGAGTATGTATACACAGGCTAAAGACAATTACTCAAATCAAACATATTCTTGGTATTTTGAAAATTGCTGTTGGAAAATGAGCTGGCATCTTCAGGCAAAAGCAGAGATTAAAAGAAGTCGATCATTTTCTGTCAGTCTCAGAGTCTCTAAACCAATTCTATTCACAAATTGAAATGTTAAGATGCCCGAAACTAATCTGCTTAAAATCATTCGCTTGATATTTGTCGTCCTGTTATTTTACACGTTGGCAAGCAAGCGACACTTTCGTCTCTTATGCACTCAAATTATTTCAAGTTAAGTATAATGTTCTGGTCTGCTTGCAGCCATCAGTGCTGCTTGAGGGGGAAACATGGGTTTGAATGCTGAACAGAGCCGAGCAGCTCTGGCCACTCGGCAACTTTTAACACGAGTAGTAAAACAGAACTATCGTGTTCTTAGCCTCCAGGTATTCCTTCATTTTGTGCCTGCAGGTGCTCCTAATAATAACCCTCAAATGAGCTCAGTAGTCAGAAAATACTCACTGTCAAACATTCAAATGCTTTTTTTGTTTAAAATAATGAATTACCGGTCCTGTGACCTAAAATACATTGTCGGTGGCTGTGATTAGAAACATAATGAGTGTGTCTAAGTAGAGAGAATATAGTGGAAGCATGAAATGAATTTATTAATTCAGCATTACCTTTGTAATGTTGATATAATCCTTGAGTGTGTCGCTGAGGTTTGGTGATTTTTATTTCAACTGCAGTTGATGGTGTTGTAGATTTGAGCTTGTTGTAATATAAGTTACAGTTGGTAATTTGTTTGTGTCCATCTTTTGAAATCATTATTAACAATTCCACCACATCACCAGGCCTCCATCTGGGTTCAGTACACAAACAACAAATGTTTGGGTCAAACTGAAGGAGTCTATATGCAAATTAGCTCTACAACAGATGATTGGTTATTATGTCGGTTTATACTCAGTTGTCAGTTTATTCGGTACACCCAGCTTAAAACAATACAACAGTCCTACGCTAAATCCTACCTTCATGAAGGTCAAAGTTTCTATTTTCTTTAGAGAGGTGTTTATTTATCTCAAAGGTCATTCTGGAGGCTGTAGCCTGTGGTGCGGTTGAATTGGTGTACAGTTTTCTCTGCCTCTTCTGTGTGGAGTGGCTCAAAGAAAGTTTCAAGAAATAATAAACTCATTCTCCTCCTTTTTGTTTGATTTGCTTCGTCCTAATTTACAGGTGTGACTCGGAGGCTGTCTCCCTTAGATTCCAGTACTCCTCTGACAATCTTTGACTTCAAACCCGGTGAGATCTGGAGAGAGGACAGATATTTTGCATCCAGCGTGACTCATCATCCCGTCCCAGACCACCTAACCAGGTATTCAAGCCGTCATATGTGTTAGCAAATGTGGTGGCTGCTTCACAGCTAAATCACCGATCAAATTTTGCTTCGAATATAATTCATTCCAAATGATCCATTGAAAGGAACAACACAAGCTGTTACGAAATGCATCTCCCATAAAAACAAACTTTTAATCAACTTAGGTGTTGTATGTCCGTGCTCTCTCTCTCTCTCTCTCTCTCTCTCTCTCTCTCTCTCTCTCTCTCTCTCTCTCGCAAAGGCATGTACGACCATGTAAAACTAAAATATTGAAAATACTCTTTTTCAATGTGTTTCATTTCCAGCATTTCCCTTGTCTTACTTGTCAGCCAATAGACAGAGAGACGTACCTTCAGCATTTATTGACACTTTTTTAAGTGTCTTCCTAGGAAGAACGTGAATGCAGTTCTAGCCAGGCTCCTTGTTTACCACAGGAGCATCAAAATCAAAGCTTGCGATATGAAGATGAAAAATAAAGCATTTTTTGTGCCCCATACATGAATGAATGAAGCCAAAAGCAGCCGAACCCTCATACGGCGTTATTGTAAGCCTGTTGACATTCATTTATCCTAAACATTTGAGATGTGGTGAATACCTGTCAGAAAGACAGACAAAAAAAAGAACCAAGGCAACAAGAGAAAGAGAGAGACAGAAAGAATGCCTGTTACCTCCGCAGATGAAATGGCTGTGTGGGTGGATGTACATGCGAGTGCAGGCTGCTAGGAGCTGTGAGTGGGAAGTGGGTACTGAGTGGGAAGAGAAGAGCTGCTTTAGTGAGATGATCAGCACCAAGGCCTGCTGAAAGGCAGTCACGCTTTTTCATGGCTTCTCTTTTGTTTTCTGCACTTGTACAAAGACAGAGTTCCAGGTAGTGAGGTTGCTGATGGATGGTGGATAAGAGTGTTTTTATGTGTGCCTGCCATCATCTGTGTATGTGTGAGGGTCAGTCGCTGGTTATCCTGCCTATTATTTTCAGGCAAAATCATTATGTATCAAGTAACAAAACTGGACAGAAAGATGAAAGAATAGACTGAATAGACCGCAACAGCACATCAGTTTCTAGAAAGCCTAACAACTGAGGAGACTGATGCTAGTCGCCCCGAGGAAGCATTTACATACATACGTGTGTAAATAATGTAAAAAGATATCCTCCAAAATGTGCTAATTGAGAACAAATGAGATACAACAATTGCACATTGCAACATAAGACCCTGAGAACCCCAAAGCTTGTATGTAATGGACATGTGGTGTGGATTGAGTGTGTGAGAGAACAGCAGCAAGAATGGGGAATGAGAAAAATAACGAGGAAGAGTGTAACGGTTCTAAAACTGAGACTGGAATTGTGACACAAAGCCACTTGAGACCAGAAGGTTGCTGGTTTGATCCACAAGCTGGCAGGATAAATCCGGTGGTGAACGTGATGAAGCTCCTCCCTTGCTACCCCCCCACTGAGGTGTCCTGCTCCATGGGATGACGATTTTTTTTTTGGGGGGGGGGTCAAAGGTAAATACAGGTCCTTTAAACAGGAATCAACTGGTGCCTTTCTGTGTTTTATCAGTACTTTTAAAGGCCCATCTGGTGCTATTAACATAATTCTTGGATTAAAGCTGCTAAGAGGCATTATTTTATGCCGTTCAACATCTTTTTAACCTTCATTCCTCATGTGTGAGCATATTTCTTAGATGAAAAGCCTTTGAAGCCGCATTTACACAGTACACCTTCGCCACACCTCTCCACTGAAAGCTGCTCTAATGAGAACTTCTTTTGCTGAGGTGGGTTTTATTTCAGGTTTTGGGAAAGGACACAGGTAATGATGCTGAGAGGAAAATAGACACTGACAGGATGATTTTAATACACCAATCTGACACTATTAGGTAATACCATCTCTTGTGTTTTACTGTGAAGATCTACTGACAAAGAAATAATGTTGCAGGGACACAGTACATACAATGTGACAAGGATCATTTTAGGCCTTATAGGGAAGAACGTCATCCAGCTGCTGTGGATAAAATTACCCGACCCTGAACTACTTTAGCTCAGTTATTTACAAGATAGTCCAGTTTCTCCTGCTCCAGTAAAAACCAGCCTCAGTGCTAAAATGTGCTTTTGACCATCACAGAAAGGTAGAATATAGATTGAAACATTTGAAGGAAACTTCTTAACTTGCTGTCTTGACGAGAGCTGGTTCAGTTATATTGAGTGGCATCAATCTTCTCTCTTTTATGAGAGTGGTATCAATCTTCTCATCTAACTCTCATCAAGAAAGCGAATAAACACATTTCCCAGAATGATGAATTGTTCCATTAAACATGCATGTCCATGCTATCAAATATCTGTATGCCTATACACATCAACAAAAATGCAAACTTACACATAAACCACACACTCATTCATATATATGTACAGTATGTACACACACACACACACACACACACTTCACACTTAGATGAAGTATGTCTTGTGTCCCTAAGCTCCTCTCCTGCTCTCTGGCTCCTGCAGTGAGACGGCCCTGAGAGGAGAGCGCTGCAATGCAGCATCTGTGTGACTCACACACACACACACACACACACACAATGAGATGGCGGCGGCATGTGAAAGTGCTCAGATCGTAGGAGGGAGATGAGGAGTGAGAGACCAGAGTGAAGTGAAGGATGAAGCCTGATGAGAGGAGGAGGAGGAGTGAGTAGGAGGAGGAGGAGGAGTGAGTAGGAGGTGGAAGAAGGTGAGGTGAGGAGGAAGAAGAAATAACAGGTGGGAGGAAGATTTATAGGTGAAAGGATGCTAAGAAGTCAGACAAAAGATGAGAAGAAGCAGATAAAAGCCACGGAGATGACAAATGGACTACATAATGAGCCTGGTGATTACCTTTTTATGGCTGACATGTTAAAAGACAGTTTATCGGTCCCGCTTCATCTCTCTAAGATGGACACACATTGGGATACAGTACATGCTTCAATCGGCAGGGGAGAAATTGGCTTGAAACAAATGAGAATGAACCGGAGTGTTTTTGCAGCTGGCACGTTTATCATGAGAATACTTTTGGTTGCTGTGTGATGATCATGTTCTGTAGGAGCAGCCTGTAATTAGCCTTCAATCCGCTCATATCTGTAAGCTCTTGTTTGATCATTTGTTCAGCTGAGATGATTCATCTTAGTCTATGAGAACTGCCAAACAATACAAAACAGTATTGCTACAACACAATTAACAGATAAACACTGTGTTTAGTCAGCGAGCTCTAACTTCCACACAAACTAACAAAACACATGAGCCTCTCGGTTTGCATAATTTGAACACTTGTTTCTCGCACTAATGTCTGTTGTGACAAAATTAAGTTTACACATTTCTTATCGTTATTGTAACTTTTATTGTGGCTTTCAGGGTTAAGAGGTATTTTGACCATTTGGGTATTTTATTTTCCATCTCAACAAGCACTAGTTTTTGATAGTGGGCTGGTACTGTAGAGGCAATGGTGGTGAGGAATAGACAATTGTAGCCTTTGAAAAAACATCTCTGGCAAGCTCTTGCTGTGAAGTGACGAGTGCACCAAATCAAACTTTAAAATGTTGCAGCCAGTACACCTGCTATGTTTGAGACCATGGGAATGGAAATGTGGTGTTTCTGTGCTCTGTTTTGACTCTACCCATAATAGTGTGTCCTTGAAAGTAAATCCTTTTTCTGTTGCCTGAACATCAGTTACTTTCTATGGATTTTGCCTCCTTCGAAAAACAGGGTTAGAAAAAGTAAGTCTTTTCCCTCCTTTCACAATCGCTAAAGGTGTCCTTCAGTAGAGGTCCACCGTTTTCAGTCCCAAAAGTGATACCTGGGCTTTGGGTATCGTCTGATACAGAGTACCGATACCAGTGTTTAATTAATAAGCTGTTTGCCTCACTGTTTGACATGTTTGTTTCTTTAGCTACATGTGATACATGACGTAGTACCAAATGTGTAGTCAGACAAAGAACTGAATTGAATAGTTTAACCCCATTGTCGCTGATACTCAACTCAGCTATTTGAGTCTGTATAGGTCCGATATCAGTATCTGATTGGTGCTTCCCTGCCCTTTAGCAAGGCAGAACTGTAGGGCAGCTCAGTGGACATCAATAAAACACTGGTTATATTGGCCAGCTTACAGTATTTGTGTGTGGTTTTGTCTGAATGTGAAGCTTGAAATCATCATGATGTTCTTTCACCTTCCCTTGCTTATCCAAAATGTCCAGTGGCAGCAGTGTCGGGCACCTGCTCACTATTCAAGTCCAGTCTTCCGCGGCACACAGAGAGAGAGAGAGTTTAGCATCAACCATCCCTCTGGCAAATTGCCAAGTGCAACAGACCTGCTGTACTGAGACTCTCAACATCTAACTCTATCATATCGTCATCTCATTCCTCACTGGACACAATGCCTTGAGGACAGCATACTATCTGGACAATATACTTATAGTATCCTGTGATGTACTATTTCTGGCTCTTCGCCCTATGAACCCTCTCCACTTCTCTCCTCAATGAGCTGCCTCCTTCATACTCTCTGCTCGTCATACTCGCATTTTTACATTGTACCAATCAGTGTTTCTTTGTTTCTGACTGTAGAGCAAATGCACGGCATGTTAATTAGTAGAGGTGAGACACTGTACTGCATTGCGGTCCCAGTTTGTGTTGTCGGGCTGATGAGAATGGCGTGCTTTCTCATGATAATGTCGCCTAATGCCTCTCTAATCTCTAAACCCAGCATGCTGAGTTTTTATAATGCTTGGTAATGGACCCCCTTTTTCATGCTCTAACCTGTCAGGTGGGGCTGTTTCATTCACACACACGCTGCTCATCCTTGCTCCCAAACATACAGACCAGGAGGACCTCAACGGGCCTCCAGGAAGCCAGGCCACACTTCCCCACCCCCCTCATGAACCGTCGCGGACACCCTGAGCCTGGCCACCAGTCAGAACAATCACGTCGGGTCTGGAAATCAGCCACAGAGCTCAAAGTGACCTTCGTCATCAGACAGACAGCAGAGAGACATCACATTAGGACATCAGTCTCATCTCTGTGTTTTATGACTGTTAACACTAACAGTGCTCTTCCATGGAGCCTCGAGGTGGGGCACAGTGGTGGTAAAAGCAACAGAAGGGACAGTGACAGTTAAGGGGCGATGCGAAATGTACTGCTGTGGCTTTTGGACAGAGACATAGTGAGCGTTCTATGTGGAGACTGTGCAGTGTTGTGTGCTGTGGCGTCTCCGTAGGGGCCTTCATTCACAATGATGTTCCCCTCAGAGCTGAGTCATGCAAAGCTCCACTGACTCCTGACTCTGATCCATACAGGCTGAAAGGGGCTTACAGACGTCACATATTCCACTCTACTCTGTTCTATTCGTTCTCTCTGTTTAATGATATTCGGCTCCTCTGTTTTCTAACCTTGTGGTATTCTATTGCAGTGGTTCTCAACCTTTATTTGTGAGATATAACCTCATCTCATACATGTACTAAATATCAGCCTTACACTATTTTTTTTATACTATTTTGATTTATTTCCCTCCGAAACACAAATATGTGGATCATTTTATTTTATTGGTATTCTATTCCTTTCTATTTTCACTGTATTTTATTCCATCCTGTTTCTGTCTCTCAGTGTTCAGACAGTGAGCAGTAGAATGCAGTGACTAGTGCTCACTGTAGCACTACTTTGTTTCCAGGCTGCAGTCATTGACTCCTGTTTTCTTCCCTTCAGTCTCTGTGGACTGCAGAGTTAAATGACAAATTGCTCCTTCACACATCCCCTTATGCACAACTACACAGGGTGCCCAGAAAAATGCTTGAAGCACACCAGCCACAATCCTCCGACAACAATTACGAACTCATTTTTAAAGCATTTGTTGTCCCACACTTTCTCTCTCTGTGTCCATCCTTTCACACCAAGGCCAAGTTAATTTGATTGTTTGAAGGCCACGTACTGCCCCAAATACGCACTATGTGCCGACATCAACGTCAATATCTATGAAAAAACGTGGAGGGACATAGAATAAATGTTAAAAAATAGATTGAAATGGTCAAAAAATGTGTCCAGCTAACTCCAATATCCACAGAAGAGGAGCAGAGCCTGAGTTAGTCTTCACGTTCACAACCTTGTGTATTGATCTCACGCTACATCAAACCCATTCATCTGTTTTCCCCACCTTCTGCCCAATACTGTCCAAGAGATCACTGAATCCTCCTGCCGGTTCCTGCCGCGGGGGATTATGTGGTTTGATCAATATTTCCATTCCTTTGCTTGATCTCCTCTCCATGCTGTTCTGATCAATCGTCTGCTCACAATAAGGGATTGCATGTACTTGTAAGGTTCTGGTCAACACTGGACATATCTGTAGAACGGATCACAATGCCCCTCACACACAGTGTATAAAGTGTGACATTTCTGTTTTTGGTAATACTTACTGTTTAGATTATCAGATAAAATTACACCGCAAAGGCTTCGTGATTCAAACTATTTTGTCTGAAGCTGAACTGGATCTTGTCAGTTCGATCAGAGCCCGCCGTACATCCTCGCAACTTTGTCAAAGTCACACAAATTCAAGGTCTGCTCTGTTCATCTTCAACCAGATGTGATTTCCACCTGGGCCACTCGCTATGTGAGTCATTATATACCAACAAATCAATAGGGTTTAATCCAGTGGCTGTCACCTGCCTGCTAACACCCAAGGACAGTGTTTCACACAACCACCTACACACAAACTCACACAAGCACAGGTGCCCTTTCACAAGTGTTGACAGTGAAGCTCAGTGACGCCGCAGCGGGGATTATGACTGACAAAAAGAGATTTGTGAATGCGACTGATGCAGCGTGTCCTAGAGCCTCCTCTGTTCGGCACACTCTTCACTCTCCTTTATGAAACTTTGTTAACATTGCAGTAGATAACACCGGCGTGCGAGTTTTGACCGTGCTTTTGTCTTCTCTCCTCCCTCCTCCACCCCATTCGTGTCTCTCTCGGCCAGAAGGAGAGAACCCAACCCTTTGCCCGCCCTCCCCTGCTGCTAGCTAGCACCAGCATGGCAGACGGTCGACAGCCAGAAGACGGTGCCCCCCAGTGGGACCCATCAGGGGGGCAGGAGGCCACGGACACCCATGGAGCCAATGGCTACTCCTCCTCCGCCTACAGGACCTGCCAGCCCAGCATGGCCACGGGATCCTACTCTGCCAGGGAGAATGGTTTCAACGGGGAGTTAACTGGTGCCCCCGCTATAACTGCAGGTAAGACACGTTTATAATATTCATATTTTTCTGTTTTACATTTCACCAGACACTCACCTGGCATCTACTTGCATTCATGGATTGCTCAAATAAGAGGGATGCGATGGGGCCAGTGTGGCTTATTGCATTGCAATCGCTGAAAGATAAGTTATAGTAGAGTAAGTGTTGCTTGTGTTGGGGAAAAGGGAAGTCACAGTTTAGCCAGCTTAAACACTTCTGGTTAATTCATATTTGTTGACAAAGAAAAGTGGCCTGCTTACAGTTTGATACAGGAGACAGAGTAGGTCTGTGTTTTTCTATACTCAAGTGAATGTGATTGGGGCTTGTTTGTGTGTGCGTGTATGAGTGTGTATACATGAGCATGTTTTTTTGTTATCCTTCCATGCATCGCAGGGTTTGTTGGTGTTTACATGTGTGTATGTGTTAAAGAGTGTAAGTGCATGTGTAAGCTTTGTTTTACGACTTTTGACAGTGTTTGTGTGTTAGTATGTGATGTGGTTTTATGTGTATATGTGAGTGTCTGCGCTTGATAATGTGTGTGTGTGTGTGTGTGTGCGTGTGTCCTCTCTCTTCTTGTGCGTGGGTTTCTAGCACTCTCAGTCCTCACTAGAATCACACACTGTTAATAACGGTGCTATAATTACCACATAAAATCGGTCTCTCTGCCCCCTTACACCCCTCCCCCCCTCACTCACACCCTGGAGAAAAGAACAATAATGTACCAACCGGGTAACCATGGAAACGGCTCCCCTATAATTTACTTTGCCAGCGCTTTTGTTCTTTTCGCCGGTAACTTAACGTTATCTCAGACAAGACCATTTAGCACGCGATGACCTAACTGACGCCAGTTTAGATTCGCTGATAACAGTATTTTTGAATATAGCTGCTCATTGCCATTTGACCTTTTTTATGCCCTTATGCCCATCTTCGGTTATACATCATTATATCATACATAATGACACTTGATTCATATATATCATACATATAGACTATAAATGACAACCAATGACAACGGAAGAGTCTTTAAAATGTCCCATCACATCTTGTCAGCGTAATTTTTATACTCAATTGCAACTCACAAACTGATGAATTTGGTAGTAAGCCAGTCATGGGTAGTGAGCCGTATCTCTGCATTGCTTTGCTTGCATCAAAATGGTCTCTACAGCACGTTACTCACAGTGTTTCTGGTGCCACCAAAAGTTACAATTCTTTGTGGCTTATAAGATTTCAATCTATTTGCACATTAACAATTTTTCCCCAGTGAATCCAGTAGGGAAAGAACAACATCATTGCAATAAATGTAATCTGGTCAATTTCTGCCAGTGAAATCAAGCAAGTTTTGTGTTATAAACATATCTAGTAAATAGAATGTTAAGTGTCCGGACCGCCCCTTGTTAAATGATGACCCACTTTGTATGTCCCGAGCTCTCGTGACTTTGTGTAAATGCATTGCTCTCTAATGCAAATGCGGCTAGTTTTTAGCCAGTGGTCTTACATAATAACAAACTGCAAAGGCCTCATGTGTTCCTCTGGGTCATTATTAGCACGGATCAAAGTTATGAGAGCTGTAAATAGCCTCCTTCCAACTTCAAAGTAATGGCTTGAAACTGATATCAACAAGGAAACAGTGCTTTTTTTTCTCAGAGAGGGAAAGCCAATGATCTACGCCCAGAATTTAGAAGTGTGCCTTCTAAATTCTAAAACAATGGCTAATAGCCATGCACTGACGTATAATCATCAGCATAATAATGACATATCTTCACACCAGTTGTGTAACCAAAGCTGTCTGCAGAGCCTTTAGTCGGCATACATTATTATTGCTCCAGAGCAGGGCGGGCAGGAGTAAAAAGCCAGTCAGCCATGCTGGAAGTGGTCAAGAGTAAGAGATGGTAAGATGGAGACAGAAAGAAACAGAGTGAGTTAATAGAAATGGAAGGAATGCAATGGGCTGTTGAGCTTATTCTGGAGAGTGGTTGGCTTGCATTAATCGAGCAAGCCTTTGTCTTTTGTTAGGGATATTGCATAGACTGATGTCCATGTCTTGAGCTGACACAAGTATCTGGGCATACTGTCAACAAGCCTGGACACCATTTTCTGTTGTTAAAGTTCCTCCATCTCATCAGCCTAAATCAGTATGATTGGCTGCAGAGGAGACAGAAGTAGAAATGGAAAACTACAGTCCAACTTTCAGTACCATAAAAAAACGACATACAATGGATTCCGGAGGGCTTCAGGAATTTTTGACAGAAAGAACAGTTGATACCACCAAATGAAAGTGCTCGATATTTTTTACATCAAGGCATTGTTCCTCCTGCAGAAACAATACAAGTGAAACTTAATGTTTAAACTCTCATGTGGAACAAAACTCATTCCATTCAGGTCACCAAAAGGTTTTCATTTATTTTTAACACACTCTCTGTTTCTAAAAACCTTATTGAGGAATTCTTCTTCTTCGTGGATGTGCAGTGTGCACGACCACTATCTCACTAGCAGATGTCTGACCTTGATACAGTGAATGCTGGCGGTCAGATTGGGGATTGTCACAAGTATACGTATGTGCCACTGCAGGCGAGCATTGGAAAGAAAGACAGATGTGTCATCAAACGTGATAGCACTGTAGAGTAGAGCATTGCCATTTCCGTAATGCAGATCTCACAATTTGTAGATCTCATAATTATGAGATACTAAGTCATAATTCCAAGAAAACATGAATGGATGCAGCATGCTTCTGTGACATTCAAAAATTCAAACCTTTTACTATTGTGGTTTGTGGTTTAATGTGATTCTGTCAGAAAAAAAAAGCGAATTGTTGAAGAAATGACCGTTCTTTCTGGGTTTCGTTAGATTCTGATTTACGTCATGTTTAAGGAAAACATTGGTTTGAATGATCAGCCGCGTCACAGCCATCCTTTCCTCTACTGGAGGCTGCAGACGGAGAGGTCCCAAATCAGTGGCCCACTGGTCTGTTGCCATGGCAACCCCTTGCTTACCACATTTCGGGTGCCGGCTGCTATCATATACCAACCGGCACTCCTGCTCTCTCCTTGCCCCCTCAGTCCTGCTGTGTGTGTGAGTGAATGTGTGCGTGTGTGTGTTGCTTTGACTCGGGGCTTCCAGTCGTAGTCTCTGCTCAGAACCGGAGCATTCTCAGCATCAATCTGTCAGGTAATACCTTCTTTTACTTCATTGGGAGAGTGTGTTTGTGTGTGTGTGTGTGTGTGTATACGCTGTTACTGTTGATTATGGATGTAGATACGCAGGTATGACGCAACCTTTCTGTATATTAAAGCAGCTAGTTGTGAATGTGGCTCGTTCTCCAGCCAAAGCCAATGGAAGGAAGTGGGCTTTGTCATTCTCTGTGAATGTGCATTTCTGTGGATTTGTTTTGAAGACTAAAAATCGATGATGCCCGAGTGAACCCGATGCCCTCCATGTTGCTTTTGAAGAGCGACTGCATTTAGTTTTTAGGCATATGCTTTCAGCGTCAAGAGATTAGTCCAGTTTCTTTTCTTTTTTTTTTTTTTTTTCTTATTCACATAAAAGTTCAAGAGTTTTTAGAACCTTCCTCTGGTCAGTTTTGAACTTGAATATATGCGATATATTGTTACAATAGACTCATTTGTGTTGAAAATAATCTAGAAAGGGCTGCATTTCTCCAATGTGATCAGTGAGACTCAGAAACTGAAATGAAATGAAGGGTGTTGCAGATGGCAAAATATTTTTAATTTCAAAAACCTTGCTTAAAATCCTGATTCAGACATCACACTGTCTTGTAACCTCAAGAAAACTTAGACAAGGAGAAAATGCCCTTTTTAGAACATGATGAGCCCACACTTTTTTTAGTAGCTTATTCTCCCTGATCCTCCCATTTACACAGCTGAACCTTTCCTTGTTCACCACCCCTAATACTTTATCTTCTCACCTGCAGCTGGTCAGCAATGTCATCATTTTCTTTTTTTTAACTGCTTAATTTCACTTTGCTTCCACAATTCTATGTTAGTTTTATAAAAGCTTCTGTGTGTGTTTAGTTCTTCTCAGGGTTTAGGGCTCTGTCGAGTACTAACGGAGTACCAACATTTAGTCAATTCTTCAGGCACAGGCACTCAATGGTGTTGTCTCACTCAGACAATGGAACTATTCACATCTGGATCGTTATTTAACTCCAGGTCTAAGCTATAGGGGCTGTTATTAGTTATTTGATGTCACAACCATTGATTGCGTGTAAGGTAGACGCCTTTCAGCTCTATTTCCCAGTATTGGAAGCAAGGGGTTTTTTTTGCCTGGAAGCAAATAGGTGATGCACGTTGCTATTGAAAATGGGAAATGGCTGCTCTGACTTGGCGAGTGGGCTGTGTTAATCGTTTCTGGAAGAAGTGTGTATGAGTGTGTGTGTCTGTGTGTGTGTGTGTGTAATTGCATGAGTGTCTGCCTGCCAGCTTGTTTGTGTTGATGTGTGGGCGATGTCGGATAGAAAGAGGTCCTGAAACAGCAGCAGTAAAGCATTACACTGCCACCCAATCCCACATGACCACTGTTAATATGCTAATGATTTACGGTTTGATTAGAACTCTACAGTTTTCCCCTCCGTGCAATATTTCAACTCATACATACAGACAGATGTAAGCTTAAATGCAGAAACTGTAGATCAGTTTTATGGATTGTGACCTACCAGTGTCAGAAAGCCAGACGGCGTTGATAGCTTCTTTCTAAATATTATACACTAGTATTGTAATGAAGAGTGTAAATCTCATATTACTGCCATTTTATTGCAAAAGACTGAATTCAGTATTAGATTTTATGAATGTTAACTCTCTGCAAGGCCAAATTGCTTTTCGGCGTCACCTTGAATAGATGAGAGAGGAAGAAGGGGAATTGTATCTGCAGTCTGGCTGTTCACAGTCCACTGCAGTTACTGAAGCAGGGCTGAACATCAAACAGCCCACTTCATCTCACACTAGCTTCCATGGTTTGCTTTGGTCGGGAATCTTTGCTGCATTTTCAGCCTTTGAGAAAATCTTGAAAAATGTAAAACAATATATTTTGCTTGGCGGATTCAGTTTTAGTCTGCTCTTGTTTGGGGATGCTGGGTTTCCATAGCGACACTCAGCCTTCACCAGCAGCTCTAAGCATCCCTGCAGTTATGGTAACAATTCCAGCTCCCTCACTGGGCTTTCATCGCAGGTCTTGATGATATTATTCAAAAATACACGCTGTCCTCCAGCAACATCAAGCCAACTCAAGTCAAGTTTATGTATACTGTAAAGCCCAATATCACAAAGCAGTCATTTTCTTCAGGGGGTTTTGCAATCTGTACAGTGTACAACCTCCGCTATCCTTTTACCCCCTCAATCTGGGTAAGGAAACATCCTGCTTCACATTCTCACACAGTTATTTTACAGATTGAATCCTGGAAGCTGCCCCAGTACAACCACACTGCCCTGATGCACGGGTGCAGCTTGCGATTTGCTGCATATTTTTTTCCAGCCAGTTTTGGGATTTAAACCAAATTAATTAATTAAACTTTCCAACCTAGCCCACATCTTCGAACATTTTTTTATTTATTTTTCCTTTTTTCAATAATCTTAAAAGTTGATTGACCTTTTTTTTTTGTGCCCATGTATCTATGTTCAGAGCAAGTGTCAGCGCGCATCGTGCAGGAAGTGACGGCAGAGGCAGTGGCGGTACTGAAGGGAGAGCAGGAGACTCAAAGGCTGCCATCCGGTAAGCCACACACCTACACACACACACACACACACACACACACACACACGCACGCACGCACGCACACACACACACACACACACTTGTGCAACTGCTGCATTCTTTCTTCCATCCAGTCACAGGGTGCTGGAGCCTATCCATTGCCATTGGACAGGGCACATACTGGATAGGTCACCAATTCACCTAAGATGCATTTTGGGAGGAAACCGCAAACCAAAATAATTTTGCTATTTAAATATTGCACCCTTAATGTCTCTTGAGTCAAGACACAATTCAAACTACATGATGAGAGAACATTTCAGACACACACAAGTCAGGTCTGCCGTTCAAAAAGTCCTCCCCCCTTTTTTATAATGGGAAAGCAGCATATTTACAAATTAAACAATCATTCCCGGTAAGCATACGACAAGCTAAGCACAGAAGAGAATGGGGAGAGATGATCATTTTCCCCAACCCCATGTTGAGCTATAGATTCAATACCTACATCTGTGGTTACAGACAGTGTCACAACAGAGTGTTGAGGTGAGCAGTGCAGCAGCAATATTGCTGAGCATTGGCAACTTGAAAATAGTGCATAAAAGATACGTTGCAAGGAGAAGAGTGTGTTACGTGTGAGTGTGGCAGTTGTCTACCAGAAATAACTAATAGGCTTCGCTGTATTTGCTCACCAGTAAGCATTGTGGGTAATGTAGGCAGAAGGCGTTGACATGGAGGTAGAATGTGTGGAATAAAATAGATATCTCTGGTTCTGCGGCATCAATTTTGATATTTACTCAAAGTCCTTTACAGTATGTGATCATTTATGACTATACTGTTTCTTCCTCTTCCTCTATCTCTTTGAAGTTGAAGACACCACAAATTTGCCTCCCTCTCCACCCCTCTCACCTGCTGCGGAGCACTTTGGTCCTCTGGAAAAAGGTAGGCCAAGAATGGGATCAGTGTGTTTAAGAGTGTCCTTCTTTTCCCCAACTGAAGCCCTGGAGGTTTGTGATCGCCACCACATTGGAGTACTGATGTTGGTTGGGTCTGGGGCTACTTAAACCCCCCCCCCCCCCCCCTCCCACACACCCTCAGGACATGCCCCACCTACAGGGGACAACCCACACATTGGTACCCGTTCAGGAAACCTGTACATAAAAGAGTTGCTAAAAGCAGGAACACGTTTTCCATTTTTCAGACATCCATTTCCTTTTAAATCCTGCTTCCTCCTCATCGTACACCTGGAAAAGATACAAGTCGTATCTTCATTGTCATCACTGTTTATCTCTCAAAGAAAAGAGCGCCCACATGCACGACGGCCTTGTTACAACGAGTGCACTCTTTTTTTTCATCCTCTTCTTCCATTTCCCTTTCTAAAATCCGCACCTCGTCTCCCCCACACACTAATACGACAGCCAAATTAGGTAGCCCTCCGACTTGTTGTTGTTTGTCTTTTTTGTTGTTTTGCATGTCTACTCATGGTGTTGTGTTTTCTTGTGATTGCCTTCTGTCAGTCTTTTTTGTATGTCATTTTTGTTTTTGTAGGCGGCTATGGCTACATATCAGATTTTTAGCGCTGTGAACATTACGTGAAGACGTAGCTGCTTCGCTTCAAGTGAAAGGCAAAGACTAAAGCTAAAGCCTAGCAATAAAAGTAAGGCGTAAAAATGAGCTAATATAATATATTCTCTACAACTGTAGCAATGCAGTCTAGATACACTGAATCATCGTAGTAAGTTAAGTTAGCCTAGGCATACTAGCATATAGCTGTGTGTGTGTGTGTGTGTTTGTTAGCTAGCCGTTACACTGAAAATACTACCCCGATTTGTTTGTTTGTATATTAAAAAAAAATAAAAGTATTTGTTCTTTGCGTTTCATATTTGAGCACTAGCATTGTGATACAGTTTGGTTCTTCATCTTTGACTTCTAAATTGTAGTTTAATCAATGCAGTGATTATTGTGTACAGTGCAACTAAACGGTCAGCCGGCTTTACGCTGCGTGTGTCTTCATGTCTACTCAATTCACAGTCTGGCTGGAATGTAATGAGGACTCTGTAGATGGGTCAGCCATGCACCAAATAGAGATGGTCAGTTGTGGTAACATTGTGTTTCGAGTGCACTAGAAGAAGTACGTAAGAATGATTTGAGGTTATCTGAGTTTTCCACAGAAAGTGATAGTGTTCTGTGTTCTTGATCAGATAGAGTGATGAAGAGATTTAGTTACGCGGGCGTTATTGTATTAGTGGTCATGATTCAGAGCAAGTAGGTTCAGTCTTAAAAGGCTCAGTCACGACCTTAGAGGATGGTGTTCTTTTAAACATTAGCTTTTTGAACTCCGCAGGGGTTTTTCCTTTGTTCTAAGAGAGGATTAGCTGTGTCTTTGAGGTTTTTTATAGGTAAGGGGTTTGTTCCTGTAATGGCAGTGGCAAACACACGTTACTGATTGTGTTACAACTACAACTACTACTGTATTAGTATTATAATTGTTGTGTCTGTGTTGTATGTCTTTTATTTAGATTTAATCATTCATACGTGAAGCGGTTTGTATTGTTATCTTCCTCAAACGATGAAATATTCTAATTTTGTTTGTCGCAGAGTAGGGCTGGGCCCCAAAGCTTTGACCCCTTTGATTTGCTTGTCGCTGTCTCCTTATCAATGTCCCGTGTGTTACGTTTCTCTTGCTCTCAATCAAGCTTTGTCTTCTTCTTGCATCCCCCTCTCTGGTGACTCGCCATTTTTTTCTCCTCAAGCTTTAACTTCCCTTTCTCCACAAAAAAATGTCCATCTTAAGAAGTAACTTGAGGATGTATCTAGTAAAGAACGAGTCAATGGTTAGTAATTTCCTAAAGTACAGCTGGCCCCAGTTCAACTACTGATTTAGTTTCAAGAATCTAAGGACCTAAACCAAAACAAGAAAAATATAAACATCATAAATTGTTGCAATGGATCTACTTCCGTGAAACATTTTACTTTCATGTTATACACAATTTAATTCTGCCTCTCAACAGATGCCAACAAGCTTCAAAACCCTTAATACATAATGCAAATATATATGGTGCAGTTAACTGCCGTTGAATATTTTTTTCTAAACTTAAATTTAATTATTTTGTTTAACTAAGTAAAAAATTTAAATGTGTTGAAAATAATTACTGCAAAGGTTTTTTATTTTTTACCGAAATTGCATAATCTCTCTTAATTGGCATTCTATCAATGTTATCAAAGATAAACTAGATTGAAAGACTCAAATGTCAAATCGCCTTTAAGATGGACATTCTTTGGTGGGTTTTCCATTTTTTTTTTCCTTTTCCTTTCTACCCTTTCTCTTCCTCTTCACTCTCTCTTTCAGTCCGTGTGTCCAGATTTCCCTGCAGTTCTTCTCCTTGTGTCTGTCTTGTTTGTAGATGTAGGGGATGAGGAGGAGGCGGGCCCTCTCCGCCGCTTCCAAAATTCTCGGGAGAGGTGCAAGTTCCTCGCCCCCTCCATCTCAGTTTCCGTGCCCGAGGACGACCCCTACCACTCCGACGAGGAGTACTATGACCACCCATTGTTCAGCCCAGAGTGGACGCACTCGGGTTCTCGCCCCACAGGGCAGGCCGTGGCCTTTAGACAGATTGAAGGTGAACCACGCATGGTTCCTCTTTGCCATATCCCCCCTCCATTCCTCTCTCTCTCACTCTGTTTCTCTCCTTTCTCATTTTGATGCTAATTTCCTCTCCTTCTGTGATGTGACCTCCTCCCTCCATCCCTCTTGTCCTTCCGTCTCTCCGTCCGTCAGTCCGTCTACTCGTCTATTCGTCTGTCCTTGTGTGTGTGTTTGTGTGTCCTTGTGACGTTTGTCTGCTCAACATCTGAGCAACTTCATATTTGTTTAACAGTCATATTTCTTTTTTTTTCATTGATTTCACCCGAAGCCATGCTACTTGTGGTTGCCATGCTGTTAAGTCCGACACATAGCTGTGAAGTCTCAGAAGTAGGATTCACTTAATGGACACGATACATTACAGCTCTCAACAGTAAGACCACATGGCCACCAAGGTTCACTGTTGGGGCATAAAGTAAGGTCCAAATGGCTTTCATGAATATCTCAGAGATACGGTGCATGATTGATGACCTCCATGCACAAATTCCTCTGCACCAATCATCTCCCAGAGTTATGTTTTGGTTTATTCTTTAAAATGACCCCTCAACCCCTTAATTGTGCCGTGCCATATCAAACCCGCTACACGCATCCTAAGTTACTGTCACCCGCTCACTTTGGCATCAGAGAAGACTTTCAGCTCCACTCACTCTCAAACAACTTTCCACTTTTATTGTCGTTAGAAACACAACATGGAGCCAGTTTAAAGGGGAACTAGGACTAGGGTCTTTACACTTAGACTGTTCAAACACACAACATAGCCTTTTACGTTATCCATCCAACAAAATAAATCATTTGATTGGGCAGCTTCAACTGAGGACAGCAACTTAATTTATACCTCTGTCGGCTCTCTGATACAACTCAACCCCTCCAAAACACAATGCCTTTTAAATGTTACATTGCTTTGTCAGCCACAGGTCATATTGTAATTTGGCCGGCCGTGTGTGCTCTGATTAATTTGACGTGCAGTTAACAAACCATAATGAAAACTCAACTCCTGGCATTTGCTCCTAGTGGTCTTCACCACTGTGACCCATGCGCCAGGCCAAAGTAGTCAACCGAGGGAAAACACTGGCATTCATTCAATAAACGCACAACAAAGAAGAGATATGAAGAGTATGTCATTGACTGTGAAACTGCAGACATTTTCTAAATAGTGTTAATGTAGTCTGATTATTAACTCCCCCAGCTTCCCCCAACCCGTCATTGGCACCGCTGACAAAGAAATCTAGTAGAAACATTGTTTTTACCAACATCTATGTCACATGCAGCAACATTGGGCAGCAACGCTTCTGAATAGAACTTATTACACAATAACTGAAAATGTTATACAGGAATGGCTGCTGAAAAACTAAGTTGTATGCCCCCCCACATTGTGCATTGCACAGTCCGTGTGCAATATCGAGAATCTGAGGCACTCTACCTTTTGCTGTAATGGACTGCAGCTCTTCAAGGTTGCCTCTTCTAAAGAGCCTGGGTTTTCAGAAATGCTCTGACTAGAAGTGCTTCAACAATAGTGCAGTGTTAGGCCATGAAGTGTTACCATTTATGTTTCCATTTTTCTTGAACAACCTCAGTTGTCAATGATGGCAGGTCAATCTCTGTTGAAGACATGGTTTATGCCACAGAAAAAGATAAATGGAAACGGTTGTTTTTTTACAGTAAATAAAAAAAAGATATTGAGAAATAAATGTAATGCATGCCTTTAACCACCATATCTTTGTACTGTAGTTTCCTTGCATACTGGGTACACTAAGTACCCAAAGTAGAAAAGCATACAAACAGAATGAAAAACCACCCACACACTACACTCTGTTCTATATGTGTAATGTACCTATATGTGTGAACAGACATACATTTTAGGTCATCTTCTCCCAGAGCTGAAAGTGTCCCATCATAAGTTGTGTTCTCACATAACCCAAGTCTGTGTTGCCTGTAGTCTTAATGTGTCCCCCTCTCACCCTGTTTTTGAGAAGAAGAGACCATGGAGGCTCTTACAGCTGAATACGAGGAAGAGGTGGAAGAGGAGGAAGAGGAGAGTGCAGAGGCAGCAGAGTCCGAGGAAGCTCTTGATGAGCAGCAGTGGAGCGGGGAAGAGCCCGAGCTGGACAACCCCCAAGCTGAGCCCTTAGAGCAGGCAGAGGCCATAGACGAGGCCCAGGATCTAGACCTGGAGCTGGGCGAAGCAGCTAGTGCTGCTGCAGAAAGCTCTGTGGACAGAGAGGAGGAGGAAGCAGAGGGTGGGGAGAGCCCTGAGACAGGTGTGTCCTGCCCTCCTGCTCTCCCTGCCGGCATGTTACTGTATTGTGTACTGTATAAGAACACAAGATGTGTCAAAAGGACCCCATAAGCATTATAATTCAGGTGGAATGGCAAGTAATCCCCACTGCGCTCTGCTGTGGCTGCAAGGCAACACAGGCTTGTTGGTGAAAAAAGCCACATTCTTTTAACTTGACCTGGTTTTATTGTGTGCTATCTTTGCGCTTGTATTTTCTTTTTCTTGCTGTGGTTTTCGGCACCGTGTCGTATTGGTATGATGAAGTGAACGTAGCAGTGCTTTTTTTCGCCGGCTCTAAGCTTACAGGTTACACGTTGTGTTTACAAGTGGCTTGATGCTGGTATGCCAATGCGTTGCACTTTTCGTAACCATGAATCATACTTTCTAACCATGGATCACTCATATTATTATCATGATTTTGTGTACATCATTTGCAGGGAATCTTGTGTTGGCTGTATCATGTCAAGTGTGGTTTCGTTGCCTCATCAAATGCATTATCATATCAGCAAAATTACAATTCATTTATTTTGTTGAGTTTGTTTTTGTCACTGTTATTGACTTTTTATGGCATTGATCTGTCGTTCACTAGCAAGGTTCTTCTGCATTAGTGTCAATATGCTTTGGATTTTATAAAGACATATGAAAGTCATTTTTAGGTGCCAAAATTAATTGTATGTTAATAAAACTATATGATCAATTTAAATTGGGAAAAATCTCATACAATTTCATTGTACTTTCAAACTTCTTTCAGTGATCACATCTGTCCAGGTTAAATTGATCACTACTTATTTTTCTTTATTTCTCATTAATCACGATCACTATCTAACTGACACTATATTTATTGAATTAGTATAAAGTAATGAAAAAGGCAGCTTTGCTATTAACTGAATTTTATTCACCGTTCCAAAATACAGTACAGCTGTTTCAAACGCAGCTTCAACTGTTTCGTGGTGGGCTTCAACCACAGGTGCTTTCCCATATTCGCTTTGGTTTTCTGTCTCCATTATTAGCAGACGTGACTGTGTCTTGATGTTTGAGTAGATTACTCAAATTGTGTGCATACGGGTTACTGCAAGGCAAAATATTATGGTAGTAAAGTTAAAAAATGATTAATAATAAAATAATTACCTAAATTAAAAAAAAATCCCAAATGTTATCATGTATAAAAATACCACAAATGAACACTGTAAGCAGACTACTTGATACTTGAACAGCATTTGTATACGTAGGAATGTCTCCGTCCCAAGCTTTTTGATCCATATAAGTGGTTGATCACTGTAACCGTGATCACTATAAGTGGCTTCCGCTGTAATTACAAAGAATGACAGAAATGCTATAATTGTTTTTAATTTGATGTTTTGAAGAGTCGCATGGATATCCATCCCATCTATTATTGCTTGTTCCCCATAAATCAGCATTGCAGTCGCCTCATGCCGGTTCCGTCACATACCATGCCATACTGTGATCCATCTGTGACTTGGTGGGCCCAATAATCTCGCCGTATTTCTTCAGTGATGGCCGTATCATTGTGCTGTAAGTTTCTGAGGAGAGCTTTGCCTGTTTCTGTGATAACAGCTTTCCCAGTCCCTAGCTTAATAAATATCTCACTCGCAGCATGCCAAAGCATTACCTTTCTATGTTGATCAAAACAGCAGACTTACAGATGTCCTTTCAGCTTTGAAGATGGACTCAGACAAGCAGGGAAGCGAGAAAAGTGGTTCCATGAGCCCAGACAGCATTGGATCGGAGAAACGCCCAGAGGAAGTTTTTGAGCCCCAGATGCAAGGGTTTTTTGCTGGTGAACGAGTTGTACCAGAGAGCCCCACCAAGGATATGCCATCATTTGTTCCTCCGAATGTTGAAAACAAAGCCAAAGAATATGCCAGATCACTCACACTTCAGCCTACATATGGCGAGCCAATCACAGTGTCGGAGAAACAGCCGTCAGTGGAGGTTGTGGAGATCAGCAGTATCGGTGCTCCCCCTGATGTATCGTCACTGGGAGACAAAGTTCAAGGAGGAGACTCAACAACGGACGCTAGAGACAGATCTGGCATGTCAGCATATTTTGAAACATCAGCCATTGAGGTTGTTGAGGCTCCCCAATGTAAGGGCGAAGGTTATTATGAACTGAGCAGATCTGGTGAAGAGAAGAGTACAGTTGATGCCGGGCCTCAAGAGATCAGCTACAGCACACTAGCTGAAGCTCAGGATAAACCCAACACTAAAGAAAGTACAGCAGAAGACACTAGACTGTTCACAGTTCCTGACAGGAGTAGTGAATGCAGGCTTTCCCCGGGTAAACTGGCCTTGGACCAGAGGAGTTACTCACTTAACATTACTATTGGAACAATGGATCCGAGTGGCCAAGGAAGACCTAGGAACTTCTCCCCACTAGCCACAGATATCATGTCATACACTTGTGGAAGTCTAGATGAGTCAGCAGACTACCTCCCAGTCACTACACCATCTGTGGATAAGCCTCCATCCTTGCCTCCTCTGATCCTGGAGACTGCGGCCTCCATCACCTCAGATTCTTCATCTCCTCCAAGGACCACTGAACCGGTTTCAAAACCCAGCCCTGAACCGGTTTCGCCAGAATCACCGCAGCCCCTTCAGAGCACCTATAAAGATGGCACAGAGATGTCGCAAGACTTGCCTGAGATGCTGGACCTAGCTGGTACCCGTTCCAGACTTGCATCCGAAAACACCGAACCAGACATCACCAGGAGAAAGTCAATTCAAGCTGATTATCCAGCCTTCACAGATGACCCACTGGCTAGCCTAGTTTCAGGGGAACTAAGTCCTATGTTCAGAAAGAGTGAAAGCCAGCTGGAAGATATGGGCTATTGTGTGTTCAGTGAATATTCAGGACCCATGCCATCACCTGCAGATGTGTTGAGCCCCACAAACCTTTCTGCACAGGTCTTTACCCACTCCGTCCTGGAGGCGAAAGTGGCTGAGCAAGCTATGAAATTAGCAGTCAGAGACACATCTGTGGAGGACCACAGCCAGCCATCAGGAGTTGCTGATGTCACTGAAGAGAAAGACCAGAGGCAAGTAGAGAGAAACAATTCTGCTGAAGAAAAGTGCAAGGTTGCAGATGAACAGTCAAAACAATCTGTTAGAGTGATGCCACTAGCTCAGCCAAGTGAGTCCTTTGTGACACCAACGGTCACTGTGACTCTAGAAGAAGGCGGGAGGTCATTTAGTGACACTGAACGACAAGCAAGTGGCGAAGGCTCAGCATCAGAAACCGAGATTGCCGACTATGAGAGGCAGATCCGCAAATTGGAGATGGAGGACAGGCCTCTCAGTATGGAGGAGGAAAGAGAACTGCAGGAACTTCGGGAGAAAGTGAAGCTGGTCCATCAGGAAGCCTATGAGGAAGTGGATGCCGAAGATGTGTACCAGCTGACCGGTGTGGCCAAGGATCGGATTGCCAGGCCTGTCAAAACATCACCTGCTTCGTCTGTGGAGAGCAACATCGATGATGATAAACTGCTCTCTCCAGTGCTCTCACCTTCAAAGCTTAAACAAAGAGAAGTTTATGGTTCCCCCAAAAGAACAGTTTCACCAGTGTTAGGAATTAACAAAGAAAAAGAGGAGTCAGAAAGAAAATTTAGGGAAGAGCAAGAGAAGGAAGCAGCCGAGAAGAAAATTAAAGAAGAGGCTGAGATGAAAATCAGGGAAGAAGCAGAAAAGAAAGAAAATGAAATGAAAGAGATCGTAGAGAAGGAAAGGAGAGAGAAAGAAGAGGCAGAAAGAATCCTGAGGGAAGAGACAGAAAGGAAGGAGAAAGAGGAGAGTGAGATGAAAGAAAAAGAAGAAAGAGAGAAGAAGGAAAGAGAAGAGAGGGAAAAGATGGAGCAAGAGGAGAGAAAAGGGAAAGAGGAGAGAGAGCAGAGAGAAATAGAGGAAAAAGATAGAAAAGAGAAAGAGTTGCGAGAGAAGGAAGAGAAAGAAAAGATAGAAATGGAACTGAAAGAGAAGGAAGAAAAAGAAAAGATAGAAATGGAACTGAAACAGAAGGAAGAAAAAGAAAAGATAGAAATGGAACTGAAAGAGAAGGAAGAAAAAGAAAAGATAGAAATGGAACTGAAAGAGAAGGAAGAAAAAGAAAAGATAGAAATGGAACTGAAAGAGAAGGAGGAAAAAGAAAAGATAGAAATGGAACTGAAAGAGAAGGAAGAAAAAGAAAAGATAGAAATGGAACTGAAAGAGAAGGAAGAAAAAGAGAAAGATGCTGAGATGGACAAAAAGGTTGCAGACAAGCTTGAGGAGATGGCAAGACAACCAGAGGAAAAGGCGGCCGCGAAACCTGTGGAGAAAGAAGCTGAAAAATCTGTGGAGGCTGAAAAGGCGCAAGACAAAGATGAGGAAGAGGTGTTAGGTAAAGTAGGGGCAGGAGTGGTAAAGGAGATCCCAGAAACTCGAGCTGCCATCGAATCAGTGGTGACAGTTGAAGACGATTTTATCACTGTGGTCCAGACCATTGATGAAGCAGAAGAGCCGGGACACAGCGTTCGCTTCTCTGGTTCACCTGAGGCTGAAGGGCTTTGTGTCACTGCCCAGAAAGAGGAAGAGGAGGAAGAGGAGGAGTCTGTGGAACTGGCCCAAGAAGCAGACTTGGAGGCTGCAAGTCTAGAGGAGGTGGTAGATGTTCTTGAGACCCCTGCCTCCCCTGGGAAGGAGGCTCAAACCATAGACACTGAAGAACCGACAGAGAGCTATGATAGAGATGAAACCACAATGGACGACTCCATCCTGGACAGCTCCTGGGTTGACACACAAGGTGAGATCTCTTTGGTGGTTTATTCCATTACATTGTTATTTTTTCCCATTTCTTTCTTCTTCTGCTTCAAATAAACACATTGATGTTGTCTCATGTTTTTCATGTCTTGCTTTGCCACCCTGCAGATGATGATAAGAGTATGGCGACAGAGCAGATTGAGCCTTTGCCCAAAGTCAAAAAGCCTGCTGTGGTCCAGAACAAGCATACCCAACAAAGGAAGACAGAGAAACAAGAAAAGCCAGTCAAACCCAAGGCCAAGGGAGGGCGGGCTAAGGGCCGAATCTCCACACCAGAACGCAAGCCTGTCCGCAAAGAACCTGTCTACATCCCCAGAGAGGAAATCCAGAACAAAAAAGGTTCCCTTCATTTCACAGTTATAAATATTACAGTTATGGTTTATCAGCATACCTGCTGCTTTCCATAGAATCAGTATTGTTATACACTTTTCTTCTTTGTCCTGTACGTTGAGTAAAGCCATTTAAAACAGTTGCTCGGCATCATCATTATCATCATGTAAAGGTTCTGAAAACGAGATCGAAACCGCAACACAAACGTCCACAGTCTTGTGTTCCCCCTCAACCCGCTGCTACCGCGACCGCTGCAGATCCCCCGGGCACATTCAAGTCAGCAGTCTGGGAACATTATGGTTATCTGGGGGAGTACAGAGATGGCAATTGCATCATCGACAAAACGCACACAATCTGTCCGTAGTGTTTCACAAAACTTCCTTAGGCGACAGGCAGCACTTTATATATGTTAGCACGTTTCCGAAGACATCATCCCAACAATGATCTTAGCGATCCTCCTTAGAATCCCCAACAACAGCAGGTAACTCCTACCAATGTCTTGAGAATGACACCACAAGCTAACTTGGACTGTGCTCAAGCAATTACCAATGCAATCAGGGTTTTAATGGCACTGGATATGCGCTATTTTGTCAGTTATAGAAAACACGGGATTCAAGCATTTGCTCGGTGTGCTGGGACCCCGATATGAAGTGCCAAGCTGACCGCGTTTCAGTATGTGACTGACTGCATAGTTGAGTTGCATCTTATCCAGGAGGTTCGCTAACAGATGTTTACTCAAAACACCAAAACCTGTATTCCTACTGCCGCGCTGCTTAAATGGTTCTTAATAGTCCTCTTTATTTAGTTAATGTATGTGAACCCCCGTATTACAAGGTATGAACCGCACTGAACAGAAACTCGGGATTGGAGAATTGTTAAACCCCTCATCATCATGTGCCTAAGTGGTCTAGTTACTTATTGTTTACCTGTACAACTTTTTGTGTCAGAAGATTTGCAGTCTCATAATAACCCACAGACACAGTGATTTGAGTCAGCTGTTTTTAGTATAGTACAAATACGAACGTGGTTCAGTCTCTGCCTCTGCTTTTTTGTTGTGTCTCTGCTTTTGTCAATGGCCTGTTTCCTCTGGTAGCTGTGATAAGGAAGGCCGAGCTTACCAAATCCCCATCTAAGAGGAGTGCGATGAAACCAGCCGTCCGCCAGACCCGCCCCACCCAGCACCACTCCTGTCCTAGAAGGAGACCCACAGGTGACACATTGCCTTGGTCTGTCATACAACTCTAGTGCTGTGTGCACTACAACGTCCCTTCACTGTCAGCTTCCACCTGGTTTTGGCATCCATTTTGTTTTGTTGGTTACCATGGTTTGTTTTTGTCGTTGTATTTAATCACAATAAAAATTGACTGTCATACATGTTTCATTTCCTTCATTTGTTTTTGTGCACATCGTCTCTTTGTTCTTTTGACAGAAACTTAACACCCAGTTGAAAAAATCAATTCACTGACATCCTGCTTTTTTTTCAGGATTCACTGAACACTTTCAAAGCACACTTCCACATCACTACTTGGAAAAAGCAAGATTTTCAGCTGGTGTTAAGATACTCTTTAAAAGCATCTTCCTTGCTGTTACCAGTTCCAGCCATTTGTGTTTATGCTCTTGGTGAGCTGTTGGTGGTCCGTTGCTCTGTCACATTAATACACTAATATGTTTTATAATTATTCCATGTCATTTAAAGGTTGCCTGAGAGTTGTTTGGTGTGAAAAACCTAGAAAATGTTCCTGACCTCTCTGGTCTTTCATATGGTTTTCAACCTATGGTTGCCAGGCAACTAGTAATCCACGGTTCTCTGGACCTGATACTATAAAGACTCAGAGTCCCAGAGGCAGTTTGCACTTCATTTTCCCCTGATGGGCTGAATTCTGTGTCACTGATGATGAAAGCTCAGTGTACTGCTGCATTGCCCCAATTAGATTATTTCCCAGGGTTGCCTTACATAATAGTAAATCCCCCCCACTCTGTGTGATACCTTGCCAAATCTTTGCAGAACAGAGCTCTCAATGGGGCAGCAACCCGCTCCCACAGAACATTCGATTTGTCATATACTGTAGCTCTCCATGCCAGGTACAGCAATGCAAAGTTGTACGTCCATACGTACACATACAAAACCAAATGTGCTCAATGATCAAGGACACAAATATGATGATATTCCTTCAAAAGTAGGACATTAAAAGGGTTCTCACTTCTTCCCCGTCAGTGTATGAAGGTCAAAACGTGTATTCTGATGGTGTTGTAATATTCCTGTTATTCTGTTTCTGTTTCTCAGAGGCGCTACCAGACAGTCGTCAGCCTTTAAGTGTTGCCAGAAAGTCTCGCGATAGAGCATCGGTGAGTACACTCCATCAGCCCAACAGTGGAATGAGAAATATCATATCAAAGCTTTACTGGCAAACCGCCTGAATCATCAAGTAGTTTTGTAGTAGGGTAATTAAATATACTGACGCTGAAGAGAGAAACCAAAACGTTCTCCTAAACGGCAGCGACTGATTGCTCTGTCTCTTGGAAACGGAACTCTCCAACATTAGATCCACTCTACCTCAGCCTTTTGTTGTCCGTTAGTATAAAGAGTTTTAGAAAAGAAAGGTTGGTAAACATGGACATGCTGACATTGTATTACACCATGCAATTAATGCATAATTAAGTCAAAACAGATATCAAATATTTTTCTCTTGCTACTAATATGAAACTAATACGCAAGTTGCCTTGTAGTGCTAACTCTGAAACAATAAACACCACATTAATTAGGCAGAATAATTATCATTGGAATTGAGAGTTATTAAAAGCTGTTATATATTTTCTCTTGTGACTTCCAGAGAAACCTAATCATATATTCAGATAAACACATTACAGGCTGTCTCCCCTCTCTCTATCTAAGCCCTAATCCCTGCCTGAAAAACGGTGAATTGCATTTCTGTATTAACACCACTGCTAGTTTTCGTTTTGTATTCTGTGAAACCAATATTATGTCCGTTGCATTTGCTTTTTGTAAAAATGTTTGCCATTGTTGCCTTGTTTAATGGGTCTTTGCAAAAGTAGACAAGGCAGATCCATTTAGAGCATTTTCTTTCTTACTGAGTGGGTGTCGAATCACCCCTGACATTTCTCCAGCGGCTGTGGTCGTGACTGCATTTTAATCCTCCACCATGGTAATGACAGTTATTGTGTCTAAAATAACACCGTTTCTGCATTTCTTAAATGTCATGTCATCAAAGCATACTGTAAGAGGGTTCTGTCACTCTGAGCCCACATTATATTTCACTTTTGATTCACACATTCTATTTACAGTCTTCAATACATCTCTTACCATGGTCTGCAGTGTACTTTTTTTTTTTTTCTTCAAGTTTGTTGTTTGCCATTTTGAAGTCATAGATTTTAAAATGTCTTAACTGACATGTTCACAATGAGCGTGCATGAATTGCTGTTGTGATGGGCTATAATTAAATGTTAAACACACAAGATCTGATGCTACTATCTCATTCATCATCACCACAAAGGAGATGAGATCTTGTGCACTGATAATGCATGTTAAAGCACTGTTATTTTCACCATTCTTTTGTCACCCTGTGTCATGTGTTTTGGTGCCATGCTACTCACCCACCGGGCCTCATCGTTGTGCTATCTCAGTGCCATGCCCATCATTCGCCACTAACAAAGATCCCCACCTCCATATCCAGAGTGGCCGCCTCATTAGATAGACCACGCCCATCCTCAGCGGAGCCTCAATTCTTCCCAGTATTACAGAGACTCATAGCCAAGGTAGGTGAATGGCAGAGCGGCCTTGTAGCTGTGGGAGTTCAGGAAAGATCATAAAAACATATGTATATAATTAGTTAAAAAATTACTTTTATTTGCAATATTACCAAACTAGACCGGTTATGTCACCTTTCATTAAGAATCAATCAGAGCCTCACTGGCCTAAGGATCTACCTCTTGTCTGTTTCCCAACAGGACGGTGGGTCGTGGAGCCCTGCAAAGAGGTCCTCCGTGCCGCGACATGCCTCCATTCTGAGTCGCCGGCCATACCCAGACCATGAGGAGAGCTCCACCTCCATCACCAGCTCCGGCTCCACAGCTCCTCGCAGACCCACATGTAGGCTCAACTTACTTCTCAAAGTATTGGTATTTAGGTGGTCTTAGATAAATCAATCAGCCTCCAGTATGAGTCTCAAGAAATTGATTCTACTAATAACAAAGCAAAAACTGTACCAATGCCTTACATTATAGTAAATAGACTATTCTATGTAACAATAAGTCAAAGTGTGCTTACACATACACAACTTACCTTGTAAATAGCAAAGATCCAGATCGATTAGTTTAAAATTGGACATCAAAGAACCCTTGAATCTCCTTTTCATTCTTTCCTTCTTCCTTCCTCATCATCTCCTTTATTAAATCTGAAACATTTCCTCTTTTCACTCCTGCAGCGTTTCGCACAGAGATGAGGGCAGAGCATAGGACTGGACGGGCCTCTAGCATGACAGGTAGATGGGATTCTCCATACGTCTGTCACTATGATTGCTATATTGGATTAAATTGAATTGTACAAGTTTAACTTAATTAACTAGTAACTCAGTATATATGGCATCATCCTTTATTTTCCTCCCCACCAATAACAGAATCAGTGCGCTCACGTTCGGCTCGCAGCGGCCACTCCACCCCCCGCACCCCTGGCTCCACAGCCATCACCCCAGGAACCCCACCCAGCTACTCGTCGTCCTCAAGGACCCCTGGAACCCCACGCTCCCTCAGCTTGATTTCCCAGGAGAGGAAGGTAGCCGTGGTCCGCACCCCGCCCAAGTCACCTGCAACCACACCCAAACAGCTCCGCATCATCAACCAGCCAGTGCCTGACTTCAAGAACATCAGGTCCAAGATCGGCTCCATAGAGAATATCAAGTACCAGCCCAAAGGAGGACAGGTGATGCTCTTCTCCCTCACTTACCCCAAAACCTTTGCTCCCCCACAACCCGTAGCTTCTATCTAACTGCTTGCTTATTTCTTTCACCTCTGCAATCCAATCACTACTTGTTGCATGCATTCTGTTTTTCCTACATGTCTCTGTCTTTCTAATGATCTTAGAGAGGCTTATTCGAGAAGTTGTTAGTACGTGTACCTTCTGTCCATATAAACGTAGATATCTATATCTATATATCTATATTTAGTGATTATCTCCTACCAGGCTATACCCTGGATCTTGTCCTTCAAACCTTGAAACAAAAGCAAACGGTTAAGTGGTATTAAAAACAAATGGAGACAGACTACAATGTTGCCATGTCTTTATGTATTGTTAAAAATCAGTAGAATATACCATTGGTATGTACCAACGCCAACGCTTAATGATTTGGTTAGAATTGCATTGTAAAATGTGTTTTTGTATAATTTCTTCTGACTTTTCTTATTTCTTAATATGATTATTTCCCATGGACCCTCTCTCCTACCTCTCCACACTCATTGTTTTTTTATTTAGTCTCTTAGCTACCTCTTTCCACTGTTAGTCCTATCCTTTGCTGACTCACCAGTGTAAAAGGACAATGATTTAAGAAAGAATGATGTGTTGTGAAAGAAAAAAATATTGAACACAAAATTTGCGTTGATTAAAACTTAGTCAAATGCATAAAATGATGATGAGAAAGAAATACCAAGTTTCACAGGGCCTTGAGCATCTATGAATATTTATGGGAACGCCGAGGCTAGAACTTCTTTAAAATAATGCTTTTGAGATTGAATTTGGTTAAAATAATACAATTGATAACCAACACCTAGTTCTGCAGTTATTCGCAGTTTATAGCCACTTTCAGTTTATTGTTTTGATTCACCAGTCAGTATGGTTGACTACCCGTAGTGTCCCTGTATAAAACTATAGGCAGCTGCTCCTAGCAAGTGAGCTCACACACGTGATTATGTTACTCCTGCCTTTTGTAAAATTGCAGAGAGCTGGGGTAAATGTAAAGAGAGTCACGTATGTTGCAGTCATTTGTGAACCAAAGACTCCCTTCAGTTTTTCCTCCTGATCTCAGAACTCAGAATCTGCGTTAGCAGGGTGTTCGGGAGTGTATATCCTACACTACATTTTGACAAAAATACTGTTCCAGTCTGAAGTACAGTCAGCGCTGCAACAGGAAGAATAGTGATGAAAACAGCAGTGTGTCTGTATCCATCAGCTCTTACAAGCCTCCACTGATGACCTGATTAGGGGTCTGAGGATTTGGCTGACATCTTGATGACTTGCCCGGTCTCTGCACTGCTCTGTGCAGCCAGCCACAAAATAGGGGGGGATGAAGCTCCAAATGCCTGCCTGTCATCTGCAGGAGAAATGGCCTAAGTGGAGTTTCTGTGCATGTTTACACGTGTGTTTATGTGTGCAAGCATGTATGCCGGGTCATAATCAGTTACTGTGCTATGTCAGGCAGTAGGTGTCTGCTGTCAGACAGTGATGGCAGCTTTTGTGTACACACAAACACAAGGGGGAGTGTCTGAGCAGAGCAATTGTCCTGATTCTCCCAGCTTCTCTTTGGCCACAAGCTGCATGACACAAAGTTAAAATTTAATCTGCCTCTTAAGGCAATGGCTTTATGGTATTGTGATGAGATGACTCAAGGTGTTTAAAGGCATATGTGTGTTTTATGAGATTCAGAAAGAAGTGTCGAGACAAACCTAAATACTGCTATTTGTGTCTCATAGGTGGATTTAACAAAAGCACCTCAGAAAGGGATGAATATTTACTGAATTTCGAAGACAATAACAGAAATACAACAAAATAGTTCTGGCATTTGAATACAATACAGTATGTATGAATTATTTTGGTTATTTCTACATTAATGTAATTAAGTATACACATTTATTGGTGTAGTGGCCCCTCATTGTCACTATTGGACCACTGTGCTGTATCCCATATAATAGCAGAGAATATAGACAGAGGATCATTCTCAAGACATCATTAGCTTTGCTGCAATAAGGTTCATGCAGTCTCTTTGCAAGTAGCTGCTGCAATTTACAGAGATGAATAGTTACTTTTGAGGTTTCTGCACTGTTGCCACTGGACGAGGTGCATTGCGGATGGAAGGGTGGTAATCCCATTCCCTTGTGTGTTTTGCTTTTCCTCTTCCTTGATAGCAGAACATTTAAAAATATGTAGAGTGAAATGCGAATGAAAAAGTCACCTCAAATATTCTCTTTAAGTTCCTGCACACACAGTTCGACAATTTTGCTGTGGTCCTCTTCTCAACACACTTGTCTGTCGTGTTACCCCCTGTGACAGAAATAATCCTCTCCTGACCTTAATTAGTTCCTATAGCAGCTCCACGGTCTAAATAGTTCCAGTTTCCAAGCCTCCCCCAGCCCATATCAGGCCTTTGCCTCGACACTGACCTGTCCATTGGTTGTCCTCATAGAAGCACAAGGACCAAAATATGCCAACAGAGGCCAAACACAAGTCCTCTTGGATCTGGAAGTCAGTGCTTCGCCTCATCTCCGTTACTCTCTGCCTGTCAGCGGCACACAATGTGACCTGGACCCAAGACCTGCTGGTACACCTCAGCACTGTTAATTATGACACCATGTGTTTAATGGAGCCTGGTAAAGAAATAATTAAAAACCTTTATAGTGTTTCATTCTCATCAATTAATACACTTAATACATTTGAGAGACTATTCTTGAATAAAAACATAATAATAATTAAATTAAATAATTCAAATTAGTAATGAATAATTCTGTTTTTTAACTTTTTGCTTTACACAATTAATTGATATTAGAATTTTGAATATTTAATCAAGGCGGCCCACAGAGCAGCAGCAGGAGCTGTTTGAACAGCTGTTGCATGAACCAGTCATGTGGTCGATCGAGCCAATCACAGCTCTTGCTGTGTAGATTAGACTTCATTCAATTTTTAGGTGCCTACATCTTGAAATTCAGGACGTCTGTCTCTAAAAATACAGCTCCCATTTAATTGAAAATCGTGAGCCAATTCTATAATATATATATTATATATAATATATATAATTTTATATTTTAATAATGCATAATTTATATTTAAATGCAATCAATTATCTTATCATACCTTTTTGAAATTGATTAATGTATTAATTGATTATACTTGAACTATTTGTGATTATTTATTGAGTGCCACATCTTTCAACCTTTGGTCTCTTTTAAAAGAGTACACCAAGTATGTTGTCCTGTTTATCAACTTAACCATGATGGGAATGCAAGGATAACCAGTGTGAATGACCTGCTCATTGTGCAATACATTTAGTGAGAAAATTTGACTTTTTTTAAATGTCTTTCAAAACTCAAATCAGCAACATCTAAGGGCATGTCATTGATCTACATGAAACATTTTATATTTATATATAAATATACACTATAAGTATACATACTATCTCTGTATTTTTCCATAGATTCATATTTTTAACAGGAAGTTGGACTTCATTCACTTACTGACAAAATGCAGCTCCCAGGATAATCTGCAGCTCTCTCCCCGTGGAGGCAATGTATGTACCCTTCTGTCGTGACCGATTGTTTTACCTCTCTTGATCCTTAGATGGAAAGGACCGTGACTTGATTCTAGTTTGTTCCTAATGTATATTTTTAGTCCAAGTCCAATTAAGTGACATGCAACAAGTAACTGTTTGTTATGCGGTGCAAATCTCGATACATGGCTTAATGGTTTAGCATCATAGTACCCTAGTTTGTCGTTTTTTCTCACCCTTGAACCTAATGACCTTAGTATGCAATTCATTGTCTCTCTTTGCACACTTTGTGTGGGGTTAACCAAAGTCCACTTTTAAAGCTTGACTTCTCATTGGCGGGGGCTAAATAAATAGGAAACATTACCACAGAAATCACTGCCATCATTTTGCTTCGTTTAGTTTCAAGTGTAATCTTGTAATACTGTACATATTGTGTCTTGTCTTGTGTTTGGTAGTTAGTTCTCGCTGTCTTGGTAGATGTTCCCAGAGACCAGAAGCTGGTATACCAACAAATGAAATGCATTAAAATGTCTTGCTTTTGCATTCCTTGGTAATGGCTCGGATGTTCACTGGCGGTTACTGGATGAAATCCAAATGAAATTTGGCTTAACCTCTCTTCTATCCTTATTTTTGCTGCCTTTATCCTCTTACTTAAGACCAGAAGGGCTCACTCAAGGGAAGGCAGCAGCAGGATACAATGTGCTAATCGGGAAATGAATGCATGCTCAGTTAACCAACAACAAACTCTTTTCCTGCAACCCCCTCGTTCAGAATTGAACCTTCCTCTTCTGGTTTGTCATGTTGTCTATACTAGACAACTACTTGATACTAGATTCTAGAGGTATATCTGCACTCTCATTCTATACTTTTGGTTTTATATAAAATATTCTTATACTGGTATTGCAGTATTTCAAAGCATTTTAAAGTATTGTTTTGGTCTCCTCATGGTTATTCCTCTAGCCTCCTTTAGAATTATGTAGTGTTTTCTCCACATAAATACATTTGCAAATTTTTCTCTCTCGACCAGTGTTGTTCCCATTGCTTTTACTGTGCTTCTGGGTAAAATGTATTTATTGTTAGTACTGTACTGTACCAACTCTGCTGTGTCTGCATACCATAACAGCACACAAACATATTCTATCATCCTAATCTAATGGTCTCAAGTTTTCACTGCTTTCATTTTGCATCTAGTTGAGTCTGAACGCAGGAAGTGCAATTTATGGCAACTTATTGAAGTATGTTCTTGTGGAGTTGTCTCTTCATGTGACACACAATGGGATGTCAAGATTCACTGAAGGTTTTGCTCTTATGGACTCAAAAGTCTGTAAAAACGAATTGATCGCAGCAATATATCAAAACTTCATGATACTCTCCACCTACGGCATTTATTACCTACAACTCCCTTAGTAGCGAATCATTGTATCCATTGCATGCTGTTTACCCAGGTGATAACAGGTGAACCACCAGGTCAAATACTACTGCCTACATTAGAGTCAAACAAACTCAGATGTCTAGGACAGATCATTTAAACAGTAAAAAAGCCCAAGTCTTCTCCCACCTCATTCCTCACCTCCGCCCTGCAGGTTCTCATCCCCAGTGTTAAGCTGGACTATAGCCATGTTCAGTCTAGGTGTGGGTCCTTGGACAGGCGGGGCCACTCGGCAGGAGGTGGAAACGTGAGTCTTGTGCCACTAGTCCATTGTCTCAGTGTTCATGTCAGTGTCATTTCTCTGTTGTGTCGTGTTGTTTTTCAGTGTTTCAGTGTTTCATTTTCCCTTTTCCACCTCGCTTATTGTTAAGTCACTCACGCTTTAAGGCAGCAGTGCTGGTGCTCTTTACCTGACTGCTGTTGATCCCCAGTACTGATTTGTGTCCTGCGAGGAATTTAGATAATAAAGGCTGCATGTCTCCTGATCCAACATTTGATAACATATAGGACTGTAGTAGCATTCTACCTAAGGCTTAAAAAAAATCCCAATAATACCTTTTATTCATGTTTTGATTATGTGTATTACTTTTATTATACATTAGTCAGAAAGTACGATCGAAATGCATAGAAAGAGACTCAACATCTCTCGTCCAAAACAGCATGTTGCATGAAGCACTAAGTAACGTGCATTTCCAAAGTAAGGTGTTCAGGTTGATGATAACAATAAATGATAAAAAAAAGTCTTTCTTGTCGTAACATCACGTCCCTTAGGAGAGCCTATTCTCATCAAATGTCTTATTATTTGCCTCTTAAAACTCTGTTACTGGGAACACAGAGACGTGTGTATCATCTTCCTTTCAAGAGGTTTAAAAAAGGTGATGCCAGTGGCATTACAATGCTGGAGATGGAACAGCCAGACAGTTAACTATCAAGGGTGAGTGACAGACAGACATGTAAAGGCTGTAACATTTGGCCGTATACTGATTCATAATTTGGTGGCGGTCCCGGCTCTCCACTCCAAAATGTAATGTATCTGCTCCTCTCATGTCTTTAAGGGCATGAAAAGACCAATGTGATTGACCATGATTGTTCTCACATTTGTGAGTGCAGTGTGCATGGTTAACTCTGTTTGTGACTTGGTTAAAATATGAAGGCAGTCGATGTAAATCAGATAAATCTGAATGAAGCTTATATTTTAATGAAGAACATTTTGAGCTGATTTATTTTATTTGTCCGGGTTAAGTCTATTGTAGTACTAAACACTTCAGCAGTTCTCTTTTGAATAACTAAACATTTACTGAAGGGTATTTAAGCTCCAGGTACCTCTTATTACAATAAGGTGTCAGGATGTCAAGGGGCAAAATTTCCAAGTGCGGCTGAAGCAAATATTAATATTTTATAATGTAGGTCTATATTTGTTGTAAAATATGCACTTGATACGCCTGAGTGGACTGTCAAATCCTGTCAACTTGTAGTACTAAAACTAATACTAAGCTATTTCTTATGAATCGTGTAAAAAGATAATAATCAAATGTAGTGTTTTCTCTGTAAATATGATCACAGCGAACAAAAATATTCCAACAATAAAGTTGATAGATTTCATAATGATACGTTTGCTGAAGAAAGGAGCCAACCTGCAGCAGGATGTTCACCCACGGTGACACAGACCACATCTCATCTCTGTCTTTAGCTCATGCTGCATATCTTTTCCAGTGTTATGCATGTGTGAGGGACACCGGGTAGATGAACAGGCTTGTTGTGCATAGTGTTCTTTGTGTTTGTGGTTTGTAACGTGGCTCGTGACCCGCGCTGTTCAGCATCGTCTCACTTTTCCTGTTGTCTTCTTTCCTCTCAGGCTCAGTAAAAAAAAGCAGGAAAAATTGAACACCAAATCATTTGTTACAAAAGATATATCAACTAAATCGGCGACTTGGCAAAGTGATTGCTGACCACAGGCGTGTCCCAGTGATTCATCTCAGGACGTGTTGTATCTCTTCCCGTTCATTGTGCTGTGTCTAAAGGCTCGTAGCTCCACTCCGTTTGCTGTCTCATCGGTTCAATCCTTACATATCTCTCTGTGGTTTCCTCTTGAGACTCCAGGGGTGTTTCACATAACAGCATCTCCTTATCTCCTTATCTCCTCGCCGGCTGCTTTCACCTGTGCATTCCTTCTTTACTGTCTTCCTTTCTGTTATGGTGTTTATTTCACAGGTTTTCCGGAATGTGCCAAAAAAAGCACATAGATTGTATTCAATTTTGGTTTGGTTGGTTTAACAGACACCAGCAGTTCTGCACTACCAGAACAAAGCAAAGACTGTTATTTAACAGTCACTGGTGTTCTCCTTTTCTGCTTCCATGCCTTATTTTCTAATAATTACATGCAATTAGATATCACTGTGTTGGAATGTGGAAGACTGCAGCCTTTTATTTCCAGTTGATACCCAATCATTTTCTTCAAACAGCAGCTGCAGTTTAGTGCAGATCAGACTTACTGCATCCCTCTCTATAATTGAGAAAGGGGAAGATGCTGTTTGCATCGTCTCTGTCAGTTCCAATCATGATATGAGGTCAGTGGGAGTTTATTATAACCTCATTGTGAACTGTAAGCTCTAACCTTGTCTTTCCCTGAATTTGCTGCTTCCAGGTGATGATACAAAACAAGAAGATTGACTTGAGCCACGTGACCTCCAAGTGTGGCTCTCTAGACAACATCCATCATCGGCCAGGTAACGGTCAGCCTGCATTTGTCTGGGGGAACTGAGGGGTAACACTGGGGGTGATGTTGGAAGAAAGGTTAGCGAAGCACGCTTGTGACCAGAAGGTTGCCGGTGCAATCCTACCTTCCAATAGAAGTTTATATGGGGGTGTCCAGCTGTCATTCCCCTCCTCCCCAGATGGTGTTGTGGTTTCTACTGTAGGTCCTGCAGCACCATCTTCTGGTCCCTCTCCATCTGTCCATTGTATAACCTTTATTCACTGAGAGCTTGCTGAGCATGCATGCTCTTCCAGTACAAAATGACACATTCACTTTGCCAATGAAATCAGTTTCAACAGACCAGGATATCGTAAAAAAACAAACTGCCCAACCCCCTTCACTTTTATTTCACCATAAGTCAGTCGCTACCTCCACGTAAACCTGAGTGGATATCCCTGTAGAGTTTTTACACTTCCTTTTCTTCTCCCCAGGGGGCGGTAACGTGCGTATAGAGACTGTCAAGTTGGACTTCAAAGACAAAGCCCAAGCCAAGGTGGGTTCCCTGGATAATGCTCAGCACACTCCTGGTGGAAGCCATGTCACAGTGAGTGTCAGTTCCATGCACCCAATCTATGATTTAAAGGTACACAAGTTTTTGATGAATTGTCTTACTAGTATATGTATGTATACTAATGCATATGTATTACATAATCTGATATACTGTAGGGTAAAAATGTTGTAAATTGCAATAACAGAATGCAAGTAATATATATAAAGATTGTGTTTACAACAAGCCAGTCTTCCAAAAACTTGCAATCCTTTATCTGTGATGGTTGCAGTAAAGTATAGTATTCACCACTATCAATAAGTGATGTAGAGGTTAATCCAAACATTCGGATTCATCAAGTATTCAGAGTGAAGTCTAGAAAACAGACTTCTCATCAATTAAACATTTAAGAGTTGTTGTATTTGCAGTTTTTCTAAAGCTGACCCACCAAGATACAATGCACAAAACCATTTTGATTCTACATGATATGAAACTAATGCATTTCTTCTTCCCCATCCACATCTTTCGTCACACCACCTGCCTCTGATAGATTGAGAGCCACAAGCTGATTTTCCGCGACCAAGTCAAGGCACGAGTGGACCACGGGGCTGACATCATTGTGCAGTCGCCAGGCCTGTGCAGCTTGGTGTCCCCCCAGCGCCACCGGGAAAGCGACCTATCATCCTCCGGCAGTCTCAACGTGCTGGAGTCACCGCAGTTAGCGACCCTGGCTGAGGATGTCACTGCAGCTCTGGCCAAACAGGGTTTGTGAACGCTGGTTCTCTGGATTCCTGATCTGCACCCCGGACATCCTCACCATGATCCTTCAAACTGTTCTGCCCACTCCTGCCACCCTGAGGCCAACTTCAGCTTAACCACAGCCTCTAAACATCTCCACTTCAAGATCCATCACTCAACTATAAGTAGAGACTCGAATTAGGAGCTACTGTACTTTGTTCTTCTTTATTTTCCAAAAATGTGCAAGTTCTGATTCATTTTGTTGGCCTCTCTCTTTTTGAATGATGTTGCATACAGTAGAATAGTTCAGTCCGAGCACTGGTCCTAGATCTAGTGGTACATACAAATTGGGGGACCAGGTATTGGCTTAACTGGTCCTGGATCAGTGGTTTGAAGAAGCTACAGCCTTTTTTTTCTACATTAAATAAGAAGTAATGTGGCCAGCACACAATGCAGCACGTGTTCCTGCTCAGTAAACGTGCATGGACGCCAAACCCCCTAACAAACCAAGCATCCTTACTGCAAGTCATTCTTGTCATCCAATATATAATATATTTAACAAATATATATAGAAACATGTATAAAAATCAAAGTTCTTTGCCATCTACATGTCCTGAAAACATTTTAAAAGGAAGCGACAATATGGCTATAACATTACATGTAAAATTGCATTACTGCAAGAACTAGGTCATGTTATGACAAGCATGTATCGATTCTAATATTAAAAGAGGCTATTTTGTAATCGAAAAAAAAAAAAATGATTTTAGTATGTTATTTCCTCAATTATTGGATAAAGATTAAACAAGTTCATGTTTTGTAGTTATTAGTTGTTTACAGTGTAATGCTTGGTGGCAATGTCAGACAGCTGATTTGGTGTTGCTAAGGAATGCGTCCCAGTCCTGTTGAAGAGCATCATACACTCGTACCTGCTCAGTAGTTCAATAGAGACGCCTGTTTAAACATCAGAACCATATTCAACACTGGAGGTAATTCCACAAGCCTACAGCTAAAAGTATCTTGTCTTTACAGCTGCAGATGTTGAGCTCGCGTCAATGAACAGTACAGACATTCCTCTGCTAACACAGGCTGATGTTGCACCACAGTGGATGAAGCTACGAATGCGGCCAGAGATTTAACAGAAGATGCCGCTACTCTGAAATCTGTCTGTGTGTGCGTTTGGTGCAGATCCCATGCCGTTTTACAACATATGCTACCGTATCTGGATGTTTTGTTGCAATATGTGGGAGATTTTGAAAAATCCATTAAAAAGACAATTCAAGAAGTGAAACGTAACGGCCGGGGGAACTCGGATCCTGTTACATCTGTTAGGAAAAAAGTGTTTGGGTGATCTAGTTTCTTTTTCAGACACCATTTGTTGTATATCCTGCCTCCTGCCCAATTACTGCCCTCACCTGTGATTGTTTGTTTGCTTCTGTGTTTCTTCTGCATACCCCATCTCTGTGTGCCCCCTTCCCACCTCCTGCTCCACCCCCAGCAACTGTAAATGTATTTAAAAGGTCAAGTAGATGTACGCAGTTTTTCTCTTGTTGATATGACACCAATTAAAATAATTAATGACAATAAAAAGGACAAAAAAGTGATACTGGCGTACTGTTTTCTATTTGGATTACTGTTAATGATCAGAAGTTACATTTTGGGAAATTCCTTTATTTGCTTTCTTGTTGAGAGTCAGGTGACAAGATCTCTCTAAACAATACAGTTTATCTCATTTGTTTAACCTACAAATAACAAATGCTAAGCTAATCGTCTATTAGCTATAGGACAGACATGAGAGTGGTATGCATTTTCATATAATTATACTATTCCTTTAACATGCATCTGCCTGAATTAGTTATGCAAAGGATTTGCATCAAATAAATAGAGTCAGACATTTTGAAATAAAATGGGAGTTTTTGAAAAGTTTATTGTGGCAGAGGATACAATAAGTTAAGACCTAGGGATGGGTTTGGTTAAGGAGTGGATTCATTTTGATGGCCAGTCCTGCGCCAACCTTGTCACTTCACTGGCAGATAGAGAATCAGCCAGACTAAAAACGAAAGGAAAGGGGTGGTCATCCTTATCTCACCTTCCCCTCCATCACTGCTCCACTTTGAAAACCAGTGATGACAGAAATCCCCAATGAGACACGGTGACTTGTGTAACGATGAGGAAATCTCGTGGGGAATCAGGACGGTTTGCCGAACAGCAGCAGGAGGAGGAGGAGAGAAAAAAAGCACCGGTTGGAAAAAAAAGTGTAGAACAAAAAAAAAGAAAGGTTCAGGAAATGACATCTCATAGTCCTTTGTTCCCCTGCTTCCTCAGGTGGCACAGGAAACAGCGAGTGGATGTCGCGACACCATGGGGTCTGCACATATACGATGCTCACCACTGCAGGGTCCTTACACAGACATGATGTGCTTGACAAAAGCTGCAGATGAAGACCAGGGCAGCACACAGAGCAGAAAGAGGAGAGGGAAAAGGAATAAGCGAAGAGAAGGATTAAGTACATCATCCAATGAATTTGTTAGACTTGAAATGACCACAGCTAAAACATAAAACACTTTATATGTTGACCACAGCCAATAAAATGTGTTTGGTCTGGTTTATGCACCATACAAAATACTGTAAATTCACTTTTTTACAGTATCTGTGGAAAGTGAAAATTGACACCTCAATTTCTGGGTATGCATTTAAAGGGACACTCCAGCAACTAATGCACTTTCATTAATATGGTGGACTCATTAGTGAGAGATTAAGTTAAAGAGTGGAACATTTCCCATGTTACGGCTCAACAGCATCTTTCCTTATCTTATCGCCATTTTTTTTCCAATATTGTAAAGTTCACTCCAGAGCCAAAGAAGACCGACAGGCTGATATTCTATAATTAAACCGAACTTCAAGGTGAAAACGGTGGTCGTAATGTTGTAAGTCGTGGCTCACCCTCATAGTTGATAGCGCCGTTCTCGTCCTCCTGTCCTGTCATGAGAGAATCAATCTCAACCTCACTCATCTTCTCTCCTGTAGGGGGAGGCAGAGCACAACCAGTATTAATAAAACACACACGGTGACACACACTCGCACACACGAAACCTATACAGAGAGAGACACGGCGGTGCCCTTGGCGCGACTCACCCAGTGTTGCCAGAACAATACGCAGCTCAGCACCCATCACTGTGCCGTTGCCCTCCTTGTCGAAGACGCGCAGACCCTCAACGTAGTCCTCGAATACCGCCTTGTTTGGGCTGTTGATGATGGTCTGGAGCATGGGCAGGAAACCCTCGAAATCTACTCTTTTGCCTGCCATGTCTGCATGAAACAAGAGAGAAATGACAGTCAGTTCCATCCAGAGGTGAACATTATATATCTCCCCCTTTCTACTACAGGCAGCTTCTTTACAGGCGTTTAGACGGTTTGCACGGATACATGTTTCGTATTTTGTCTTTATTTCTCACTTATAATCCTAATGCGTATTTTTGACTGTGCCACATTGCAGAGTGAGGTACAGCACTGGTTCTGTAAGCAACGATTGAGCATCACGGTGCTATTTTGGTTTAAAGGTTACAGAGATTTACACCCATCTCTCTGCACAGACCAGAACAAAGGCACACATAAGAAGAACAATTCTCTGCTTTTTTATGATATTATCAAGCAGATTGTGTGATTAGAAAGCTAACTAAATATACAGTATAAGGTGCAACACCAGACCAATTCCTGAATGATAGCGAGGCTTTGTTGCACTGACCTTTAAGGGTTGACAGAATCAAATGTGTTGTATGTCTGACCTTACTAAACATACCGGTGTAGGATGTGAACAGGTGTAGACTTTTGTACATTTGACTACACGTCGCATTGCATAGTATATATCATAGTGGCGTATTTCTTCTAATTCTGGTGTAAATCTGTCCTGGTACTACGGGTCTAGATGCACTTTACATATAAAATCTATTTTACAGTAGTAGTAGTAGTATCATTATTACTTCATATGGTGATACAGTATTTTCAGCCTGTGAGTATTTACTCTGAATAAATAAACAGTTTATTCAAAGGTGGAGATTTTGCGACTTCTGTATTTGCTTCATTTCTAAAGCATTTTTGTGGCAGACCTGGTCCATGTGTTTCCTCTAAAACTATAGAAAGTGATTTCAAAGGAAAAAACAGCTGATTTGAGCGAACATGACGGATTCCAGCCATTCAATTAGCTACTGATAATGTCTTCCTCTTAATACATACCCTCTTTAAAGTTTCATTAAACTGTGCCACCACCATGAACACCAGAGATGAATAAAAAACAAAAGCTGGTTTGTGCACACACTCTAAACATCACCTCAGACAAATCTACCCTTTGAGCCACTACAGTATACTATATATACTGCTATAATGTTAATTTGAAAATGCTGCTAGTAACGACTAGTAAGCACACTGATGCCATACAAAAAATAGTACAAATTATAAATTTGATCGTTATCATGTCTGGTAGTCTGCAGTAGCCTTTCAGTCCAAAGAAGAATTTAATTATTTCGGGGATTCTATTTTTTAAGGAATCTTCAAAACTTTGAATCCATAAAGCTGTAACATAAAGACAAACATCTTCAACGAATTCAGCGATAGAACAAATGCTGTAAATATCTCTTACCGTCAGCGGAGGGGTTTCCCAGGATTTTGTTGACCTCCTTGTTGGTGGGGTTCTGGCCCAGAGCGCGCATGATGTCAGCGACCTGCTTGTAAGCCACCTTGTTGTCACCCACCCTGTCGAACAGACCAAAGGACTCCCTGTAGTCTGCAGAGTGGAGGAGAAGAGGATATCATCACCTGAATGAATCCAGTATTCATTGAATGATTTCTGTTTGTAACATATTCAGCAGTGAGTGTGCGAATAGCTGCATCACATTGTGATGTCATCATATTGTACAATATCATTTTTTTAAATAATTCTGCTTGAGGGACTTTAAATCATTCAGCAGCATTTTACATTCAAAGGCAGTGTTGGAAATCTTGAGAAAACTAGCAAGAGTAGGCTGGATTTAAAAAAAAACATTATCCAACCGAAAAAAAACCCGTACCAGTGTTGCCAACTCCGTTCTAATGAAAGTAGCTAGTTGCAGGAGCTCCAAAAGTCTCTAAATCTATGTCCCTTCAGTCCTCCCTCAAAAAGCCACTCCCCAAAAATTATCATAATGAACGTAAACAACGAGCGTGGCTATTGATAGTAGTCACAGCTGTCAATGGCAGCTTGTGGAAGACTCTGGTAATGAGCAATGATTACACAGGCAGAATATGTGCAGGCAGGCAGGCCGGTAGGTAGACAGGCAGGTAGCCCCTCCCATCGTTTAATTCGGGCCGAATGATTGGTGATATGAGAATTACAACAAAAATATCAAATATGTTTTTGTACAGAAGATTACCAACCCTGCCTTTAATTTAATTCCGTAAAATTGACTTTCTTTTTATGTTTTTGTTATTATATATATAGACACACATTTTCCTGCAAAGCCATATCATGTTGAGGTTTAGAGGGCCAGTGTTTAGGATTTGGCTGCATCTAGCAGTGAGATAGCAACCAACTTAAACTCCTCTCATGTGTCAAGAGTGTAGGAGAACTACTAAGATCGATGCAACAACGCATGAATTGCCCCGATCGAGAGCCAGTGTTTTGTTTGTCCATTCTGGGCTACTGTAGAAACATTCTGGTGCACCGCGGCAGCGTCCTCGAAGAGGACCCACTCCTTATGTAGATATTACCGACTCATTCTAAGGTAACGAAAACACAATTCTTATTTCCAGGTTATTATACATTAAATTAAACACACTTAATAATATTATATTCCATTTATGTCAATAGATCTCCCTAAATTCTACACACTAGACCTTAAACTACTAGCATCCTTCAAAGTAGAATACTCTTTGCAGCCCTGGCTACAAAATGTATTTAGAGTGAACGTATGTGTTCTGTTTTACCTTAAATATAAATCTCAGCATGTTCTATTGTCTGTGTTAAAAATCTGTTTTTCCCACAATTGGAGGCAGTGGTGGCATTTCACAAAGTATAGCTGTGGCCGTTGCACATCTGCCAGCAGGTGGAGGCAGCTTCTCTACAAACTGACAAGGGAAACATACAACAAGGGCAACATATAACAAGGGCAAGATGTCTCTATAGATTGTGGTATTATGGACTGACTCCTGCCCAACTCTGTCACCACTTACTATTTCTATCGCAGCTGTCTCTCTCTCTCTCTCTCTCTCTCTCTCTCTCTCTCTCTCTCTCTCT